CAGGTGCAATAGCGTGTTGGCGCGTTGGGTCTTGTTATATGAGATCTGAGTCGCTATCGGTCCGCTTCGCACTCGACAAGGCGTGGCCGTGCCGGACCTATTTCGTACTCGGCTAACGTAGTGCTTATCTATCAATTCTCGGGAGATGTTTTCTCTTCTCCTTGCGGGATGGAGATTTGTACATCGCAATCATAATTGTGGATGTCGATAGCGTTTTATGAATGTGGGTAGGTAGACCGAACAAGTGGTGGTGGAGGAGGTGGGCGAATCAGTGAGTGGATAGGTGGGGGATGGGAAACAATATCGTGTGAAGAAGCAGGAGTTGCGGAGACGGATGCGGGTGCGGATGCGAGATTATCAATATCACCCGTGGCTTCCATTCTCGGTCATATTGCGCATGAGTGGATGGGTTCCGTACGCGATCAGTGGTAAGTTTATCTTTGCCTTCATTTCTCTCACGTCAGCCTGGAAGGGAAAGCCGAACGTATCGGCTCTACACAACCAAAACTACAGATACGGTACGCAGTAAAAAATTCCGCCAATCCATCGCATCAGTCAGTAATAACAGATGTCGGTACCGGTAGATGACGATCCGAAATGTTTCACAACCTTAACTTGGTAGACAATTGGCACAAGTGGTTCATTCATAACGAGCCTACTCTCTATACCTCATACATGTACACTACAAGTCCCCATCAATCCACGCCGTATTCCCAAATCGTCCCTCAAACGGGTACTGGAATACTTTCTCCACACGATCATACCCCTGATACATGTCTTCACTCAACACGAGTGTAACATTGCCGTCCCGCCTCGCCGTCTCATTCCAGCCCGGCCCAAAATTCCTATACTCAGCCATTGTGGTGTTGACGCCAAACCGTGGATCCGTAGTGCCCCACTTGATATACCCATCTGGCTTCACCGAGTCATCAAGATAGCAATTCGCAAAGATGGAACGGTGAAGCGCATTCCACGGGCGTCCCAGGGGGCATTTGCCCGTGATAGCAAGCGAAGAATTCGCCTTTTGCACAGTGGAGTCGTGGATGTAGACGCCGTATTTGTTTTCGAAAGTAGTGTTTGTTCCCTTCCAGGCTGTGATGCCGCCGCCGCAGTTGCGCAAGGTGACGAGGCTGGATTGGATCCAAGCGGTGCCGAAGCCGTAGAAGAAGTCCGTTTGGCCGGCGATTTCGTTCTTGTGGAAATAGGCGTTGCCCAATTTGCCGACGTAGACGGTGTCTTGGTAGGAGTAGATGCCGCAGTGGTAGAAACTGCTGTTTGCGTAGCTGATGCTTATGGCGAGGGCGGGGCCTGCGCTGTAGGGCGCGTAGTCGTTTATGAAGTTTAGATTGTAGGCCCGGAAGTCGGTGTTGCCAAAGGGTGTGTCGGCGGGGACGGGGTCGCCTGTGGGGCCGGTGCCGGTTTTGCTGGCGTTGAAGGTTGGGGCGACGGTTAGGGTCGAGGTGTAGGCGTTGTCGAGGGTGGAGAGACCAGCGCCCGTGGCATTGCGCCAGATTATATTTACTGTGTTGAAGGTACGGTCGTTGGGGTATTGGGTTTGGCCGTAGAGGTACACGGGACCGGGGCGGGTGACGTTTACTTGTTCTGTGTAGTTGCCGGAGAGGATGAGAATGGTGTGGGGTGTGGTATCATTTGGGAGACTCAGTACTGCAGACTGGATTGTTGAGAACTTTTGTCCTAGGCCGACGAGAAGTGTATCCTCGGGGCATCCTTCCAATGGCTGTCTAGTAGGGTGCTGACACGCTTTACGGCTGACCCCTGAGAGGGCGGTGCAGGCCTGTAGCAGGCTGGCAGTTAGTATAGCCCAACGCATGATGAAAAAAGACAACGAGTGCTATGTTACCAAAGTGAGGAATTCGCGTTGTTTTGATGTCGCAAAGCATCAGTCGGCCATTCTCTTTTATATCAACCAACCCGGATGTGCTTATGGATGATCTAGCCAAGCGAGCTGTTCGCCGTCAACTCATGACACTGCAATGCCGTCGTCTAGCGCAACTCTCATCAACTTCTTCATCCGCAAGTACCATGTAGCTTCAATTTCCGTTCCAAAGCCTCCAATCATCGCCGTTGCCAGCGTTGCCGAACGCGGGGACAGCCCACATCCAGCGATCTGGGAAACGTGGGGAAGTGGGAGATTATTATCCACCAATCAGCCGGAACTCGGGAGTTGAAGTTGATCTCGTAAGTTGGATACGGGTAATGCGGGATTTCAGGAAAGGGGATGAGGCGGCCTAGAATCTTGCTGCACGTCCTTCTCATCGTATGTGAGACTTGCGCGGCGTCTCTCAAGCTTTGGCAATGAGCTTGCTGAAGCTTGTCCTTGGATGACACCCCAACGCGCCTAGTAACCGTAAGCCAAGTGCACTCGTCTCAATTCAATAGCCAAGAAGATTGTGGAGTAGCTCAGCACGTTAGCATCATCGAGCTATGTTCTGATATTGGGTTATGGATAAGAGTGCTTCCTGAAGTTGCCAGCGGATTTCCTTTACCTATACACCTGACAGTCGACTGATCGTGGAGCCGATGAAGCAGCAGACTCGAAATGAAGCCTCCTATAAACTGAAGTTTCTCATGAAAAAGGAAACAGGCAGCAATAACAGAATATGAGACTCTATAACCACGTGAGAGCGTGTTATGTAGATGGGAAGGAGGGGTACGGGCCGTAGCGGGAAAAAGGGAAGCTACCGCCACCGCATCTCAACTTCTACCCTGCATCAGGCCCCCCGATTATACCTTTCTGCAGCAACGCTAGGCAGGAAACAAGGCTCCATGCCGAATTTGTCAACATAGTGATAGGTCTATATTTCCTATTGATCATTTGAATCCCTGTGGGGCGTAAGTACCTAGGGATATTCGAGTGTTGAAGCATGAGGGATTTACATGGTAAGACTATAGAACGTTGACCTTGAGCTCTCAATTCTTTTGTACGGCGAACAAACATACTGTGAGATTGACCAGAGTTGATGGTACAGAAATCGTGTTAGAGGCTTGTAGAAGGCGTGCTGGGAAGCGAGATGCCAGCCTCGTCTTGCTCAACACCAAACGGTGATCTCGAATCTCCAAGAGATCGTGCAGCATCGCTCTTATTCACCATCGCACCATGTCTTACAGCCCTAGCCACTTCCAGAAGCAAATTTTCAAACCCGACACCCTAATGGCTCCATTGTACAAGTCTAGACTACGCAGTGTAACCTTCCTCAACTCCTGCACCAACCCATGTTCATGTCCATGTCCTTGCTCGCATTGCATATCACTCTATCGCCCTCTGATCGTCAGTGTACCGTCGCGTAAATGAACTACATCAACACCCCAATCCTCCCATTTCCCACCCATGCACAATGGCAGACACAACATCTTCCGCCGAAAAAGGCGTTCTGGTTCAAAGCACATCTCTCTCGCCCTCCCCAACGCAACCACACACTTTCGACCCCACCGCCGAGCGCCGCCTCCTCCGGAAACTTGACCTCAGAATTCTCCCCATACTATGGCTCCTCTACCTTGTAAACTTCATTGACCGGTACCTCACTCCCACTCCCCCACTCCCCGCCTACCCCTTCCCTCTTCAACTCCCAAACTAACAACTCAACCCACCAGCGCAAACATCGGCAATGCGAAAATACAAGGCATGGAGTCCGCCCTCGCCCTCAAAAAACAACGTTTCAATATCGCAGTCTGGGTCTTCAACCTCGGCTACCTGGTCGCCGGCATACCGCTTCAAATCCTTTTCAAGCACTACGGCCCCAAGAGCCTATGTGTCATGATGTTCTGCTGGGGCATCACCGTCATCGGATGCGGACTTGTCAAGACGTGGGAGCAACTCGTTGTATGTCGATTACTGGAGGGGATTGCTGAGTCTGCGTTTATTGCGGGTTCGGCGTATTTGATCGGCGCATATTACAGGAAGAGGGAGTTTTTGGACAGGTATGTTTGGTTTCTCACGGCGGGGATTGTGGCGGGGGCGGTTAATGGGTTTTTGGCTGGGTGGATTGCGAGGATGGAAGGGGTAAGAGGGTTGGGGGCTTGGAGGTGGTGAGTTTGCGTCTTTTGCTGAGTGAGTTTGGATTGGATGAAGGTACGGAGCTAACGGAGAGGTGAGCAGGATCTTTATAATCGAGGGATGTGTTACTATCTCTATTAGTATGGCGTGTTTGCCATTTATCCCAGCGTTCCCGGAACACTGCACTTTTCTGTCGCCAGAGGAGAAGACGCTGATGCTCCAACGCATCCAGGCAGATGGTGGTCATGTCTCTTCAGACGAGATATCCCTCTCCAAAGCCCTACATTACCTCAAAGACTGGAAGATCTGGACTGGGTAAGTCCTCTCCTTCCCCCTTACCTACCTCACCACTAACAACCTCTCCCAGCGTAATCATGAACCTAGCCGTAACCGAAGCCGCAAACTCCCTCTCAAACTTCCAACCCACCATCCTCAAAGGCCTAGGCTACACGGCTACATCGGCCCAAATTCACACAATCCCCGTCTATCTCGTCGGCGCCGCCTTCTCCGTCGTCCTCTCGCACATGTCCACCCGTCTAGACGCCCGCTTCCCCTTCTACCTCCTCGGCGCCTGCGTCCTCGCTACCGGTCTCGTTGTCGAAATCACCACGCCACTGCACCTCCACTACTCTGCCAAAATCCGCTACATGGGCATGTTCTTCATCGCCAGCGGCGCCTACCTCGCTATGCCCATCAGCATAATCTGGACAAGCATCAACTGCACTAACGGCTACAAGCGCGCCGTAGCCATAACCGCAATTATAAACTTTGGCACTGCTGGCGCGTTTGTGAGCTCGAATGTTTTTCTTTTTAAAGAGGCGCCGAGGTTCAGGACGGGGTTTAGTGTGGGCTTGGGGCTGGCGTGTGGGGGGATGGTGGCGGCGGGTGTCACGTGGTGGGCATGTCGGAGGGAGAATACGCGGAGGGATAAGATGATGGCCACGGTCGGGGAAATAGAGGGGGGGGAGGTACAGGGTTTCAACGAGGGCGATCAGGCAAACGGGTTTCGGTTTGCGTTATGAAGTGAGATGCACTATATGTGGAATCGGGTGCGGAAACGCGAATGCGAGGACCAACCTGGGGATGATCTGAGTGACATTGGGTTTGGGGATACGAGCATGTACTACGTATGCAAAGGATGATCTCGTCAGTATTCTGCCGCGGTGAGATTTGCGGTTCGTTTCCGAGTAAGATTATGGCATGTATTCGTCATCCCTGGAGTTGCCGGGGACTGCGTACGCAAAGGTGAGATGAGGATGAGCAGAGATTTACGTTGGGCCAAGCACGAGAAGAAAAGGTAAAGATGTTCACTTCTTTGCGCGAAGCATATCGAGCACAAGTTTGCAAAGGAACAACAACAATAATGACAAAGAGGGTATAAGTTTCATTAGCATGAGACGAGTCAATAATCTCTTTTAGTAGCGCATGGTGCCAGCAGCTATGCAAAAGTCTCGCATTTCCATTCCACTAAAGATTTACACCCGTCAACCTTGACAAAGAACAAACACAAAATGGTATCTACCCAAACGAAATCAACCGGAGGGAGGTATGTTAAGAAATCAGAATCATGATGTAGAGTTCCGAGAGGACGTAGAAATGTAGCAAGACAGTAGTGCGAGATTTCAACGAGTCGGGGAGACTGCTTAGATCATCATGGCCATGGCGGCAACGGCACCGGCGAAGGTGAGGCCGGCCTGGACACCAGAGGCGGCGTTGACAGTGACCTCGGGAGGGTGCGAGGTAGTGGCGTTGCCGGGCATGGAAGCAGAGGGAGAAAGAGTCATGGAACCAGTGCCAACGGGAACAACAACGGTGGCGTTTGCGTAAGGGCCAGCAGTGGTGCAGATGGTGGTGGTTGGGTGAGGAGCCATGGGGGTGGCGCCGGCGGCGGTGCTCGTGACGGGCGCAGGGGTGCTGGCAGCAGGAGTGCTGGCAGCAGGAGTGCTGGCAGCGGGGGTGGAGACAGGAGCGCTGGAAGCGGCACCGCATTCTTTCTTCGAGATACCGAACTGGGTGGAGTATTGGTACTGGCCAGTGACATCGTCGATGATCTGGATTCCGTAACCCTGAGCGGTAGCGGTCTCCTCGAGGTCGGAAGAAGGGGTCCAGCTCAAGGTTCCGCTGTTGGCGATACCCTCAGCGAGAGCAGGACCAAACTTGACTACGTTGGTGGAGGGACCCTTGAGGAGCAAGATGGAGACGGTGTTGGGGGTGGTTGGCTCCCAGGTGATGGTAAAGGGCTTGCAGGCGGGGACAATCTGTTAGGGGTGTTAGCGCACTTGTTTTTTGTTGTTGTTGTTGTGGCTGCTGTCGCGCTCCGCGTCGGCAATATTTACATACCTCGTTCAAAGGCTTGGAGATGGGGTTGCCCTTGGGCTCGCCAACGGGAGCATGCTTTTGCGCAGCGGCCAGGCCGGCGAAGAAGATGACAATAGCCTTGGTGAACATGTTGTTGGTTTGTGTTTGTATTATGCGATTAGGGCGAGGTGATGGGTATTAGGTAGCGGTCGGGATATACAAGTAAAGAGTGACGGGATGGTAATGAATGGCTAAAGAACAAGTTCTTCGATTGAGGCTGCGAATTTGAGCTGGGGAGGGAGGCTTTACAAGGCGGAGGCACTGTCGAGATATATCGATTTCGGCGTGTTGCAAACGGCCCATGCAGGTACCCCTGTTGCCGGCGCAACTCGAGATTGGTAGCTTGATGCCGCGCACATCCCTGCACATGACCACCATGCCAAATGGACCGCGCTTGTGCCGTTCTGTCCAATGGCAACCATGGCTGGGATTTAGGCAGCTCGTATAGGTGTGGATTGCGGCGTTTCTCAGGAGGCCACTGGCTTTACCGGTCAGCCTACCCAACACTGGCACGGCCTATTCCTGGCTTCCTGGAGATTGCTTGGACTATTGACATGAGACGCCTTACAGGCAGCAGTTTCGCTGTCTGCTCCTGTCAGCAGTATGCGAGCGGCATAGCGCTTGGCGCACATGCGTTGGCCTGCCCAAGCAAAGATGAGCGGGAAAGGGAGGGACGGTAGGACCGACAGATTAACCGTTGAAATCTCATCCGCGCAATTCTTCATCGTATTTGTGAAGATCCCGTTCGACTCGAGCCCGAATACGAGCGACGTTTCTCCGGATCATCGCAATCGTGGAACCACGATCTGCTTGGTTTTTGGCTTTGCTGTGCGACTCATGGGGTACCGCGCTGCAACTAGCTCAGGTACTGGTACTGTTGGCTGCAGGTGCAACTCCTGAACGGGATTGACTGATGACTTAGTAAGGAGAGAAGGCTTTGTTGCACCCGCCGCACGCCAGTTTTGCCAGCGACCTGCCTAGGTTGTTGCATCATATGTCAGCTTCTAAGCGAACATGACATGGCGCAAAAGCATGCAGCTTGTCATTCACCGTCACAGTCTTCTTGGTTGGGCAAGTACGAGCGAGATGAGTGTGCGGGCGGCAGATGGCAATAAGCCCGCAAATTACCGCTCCGCTCCTTCTCCGCGACGGTTAGGGGAAAACGAATGTCACGACTACTCCGCTGTGCGCTCTGTGTCAACAAGCCCTTGTTTCAACGCCTTCATTTTGATTGAAATTTACAATTGCTTTGGTCTCATATTTACGGTTGCGCCCACTGCGCCGCTGCCTCCATCATGTATATACCCTCCTCTGGCGCACTGCACAGAGTTCTACAAGCGGGTCGCGACTCGGCCAAGGATGTGTCAGACAATATGGGCACGGGTTGCCCTAAAGGACGTGGGCCCAATAAGCGAGTGAACGCATCGGGGTATCTTCGAAGCGGAAAAATGGAATTCGTTACATCGTCATGCCGTCGTTATTTCATCCGTATCGTGGCTGCGTACTGTGGCGGAGCGAGTGTGTAGCGCTGTCATGGGAAGAAGAAAAGATAAAGAGTCTCTCGCTTGAAAATGCTTAGTTGCATTGGCCAGGGTCTGTAGTCGGTCAGCTTTGAGCTCATGTGAGGCGAACAGAATGGGAAAGAGGGTATACTTACACTTTCGCGCCGTTAGCGGTTGAGGGAAAAGGCCGTTGGCCAAAAGATCCTTCATGTCCCATTCAGGAGCACCCTCGGTCTTCCACGTCCAGAAAATCCACCCACTAGCCTTCTCGTAGGCGTCAAGCTGCGCCTCGATGAAACGCCCGATGTTGTACTTGTCGTCATTCGACAATCCAGCCACAGTGCCAGTAGACTTGCCAGTGCAGTCACCGACCTTGGATCCGCCAAAGGTACCGTCGTAACGCGCGCCCTTGTCTTTGCCGTTCAACCACTTTGCGCAATCCGTAATTCCACCCGTCCACTCGCCGGCAATAGTCCACTTGCCAGTTGATGCCATCTGCTTACCAAAGTCGCAGGCTGTCTTGATGTGCTGGTCAGGTGACATGGCCACAGCGTTGTTGTCAAAGATCTCGTAGTGGTGCGTGTCGAGCATCAAGTTCCACATTCCCGCGCCCCAGTTACCCCACGATGTCACACCTTGGAAGGCATCGTGGAAGGTGATAGCGACGTTGGAGTCCTTGAGGTTGCCCCAGCCATCCATGTAAAATTGTCGAACAGTGTTCATGTCTAGGTTGGGGCCCAAAGGCTCGTTCAGAAGCTCAATGGCCGAGACAGCAGGATGTGATGCGTGGTCGTCACGGATCTTGTTAAGCACTTTGATGGTGTATGCGACCGTATCGCCCTGGCCCCAGCCAACGCTGCCCAATCTTCCCGAGTTGTCGAAGCCGTTTTGCGAGTTGGGTGCACCATGAAGGTCAATCATGACCTTGAGGCCAGCAGCCTGCGCCCAGTCAAGTGCCTCTCCAAGCTTCTGGTAAGCTCCTTGTAGGTACGGGTCGCCCTCTCGTGGGATAACACTCCAGTAGCCGATGGGGATTCTGACATGGTTCAATCCAGCAGCAGCCATCTGGTTGAAGTCGTCTTGGGTAATCCACGAATTCCAGTGGTCTTGGAGTTTCTTCTGCGCCGCATCCTTACCGATTGCGCCGGCGAGCGAGAACTCATCCTTTGCGCTGTTGCCCTCGAACATGCTGGGGGTGATCCAGGGCTCGAGCACGAACCATCCGCCCGTGTTTACACCACGAACCTTCTGGCCGTTGTAGTCGAACATGGGTGCGCGCTTCATGTTTTGAACGGGAGACGCGTTTGTGCTGATGGCAAGCAGGCCAAGGGCCACGGAAGTCCAATGCCGAACCATGATGTGGTGAGGAGTGAAGGTCTACTAATTGATATTGTAGGTTACACAAGGAGGGAATAGAGAAGAGGTACAGAGGATGCTCTGGGACAGTTATCAAACTTGAGTGTGAGATATGGCCATGAAGTCGGGGATCAGATGTCTCTTTAAACCTCCCCATGGCAAACACTTCCAATATCCGAGCAAGAAAGTCGCCCCACTAAGCAACCAGTCAGGCCTACGAAACAACCATGTGTTCGCTGCTTCACGACGTAGCGACGATCCCGTGGCGCGGAGCTCTATCCCCGCTAGTACAAGAGCTACCCGGACCTTAGTAGGTGGTGGCTAAGGGTTTTGGGGGGGCAACCAACCGTAGTTGGGCTGACAAGTCACAAATCGACTGAGGCGGGACGAGTTGTACATCGTTACTGACTCCGGACCCGCCGTCTTGCTGGCACTTAACAGGGTGACGTATGTGTTTCAAGGGAGGATGAAGACAAAAGCTACTCCGTACCCTATGGCCTAACCGGTCCAGGCAGCTGGGCGCAAACAAGTTACGGCTGAATAGAGTCTCGGCAGTCCTGACATGAAGCAAAAGAACTGAGGTCAGGCGGGCCTAAGGTCAGATGCAGGGTTGCGCTTGGCAGACAGTTGGAAGGGAGAATCCAGGTACAGGAAGTTGATTGGCCGGGCGTTTGATACGATGATGTGGAGATCGGCGTACTTCAGCCACTTAGCTGCCGAGGCGGTGCTGATGTGTCGTTCGAGAAGTCCGACACGCGCACGTGACGCCTCTAGAACATCGACTGTGGACTCTCGCGTCTTGGTTATGGGCTGGCAAAACAAACGATAGCATCTTGGGAGACCAGCAGTGCAACCTCATTCGGTTATCGGAAGTCCCATGAGCTTTGCTACTTTGGTTGTTACTTTGGGTCGGAGATACAGCGTCTTTCCAAGCAGCGTAGTGCTAGTCTGGCGCCGTGTCGTGCTTTCCTCCATGCAGGGCGCTACAAAGAGTACTGGACTGGATAGTTTCCCCGCAAGACTACATGTGACCTTGTGATGTGCAAAGCACGAGTGCCCGAAACACGTTCCAGCTGTTGTACGGTGTACCGGGTGAATGGACGACAAGCTTAGTGTCTTTCTGGACTTGGGTGCATGATGTGATGGCATCTTTTGGATCGTCCCGCCGGTTACTCATCTTGGTGAGATGGAGCGGAAACATGATGCTCGTGCCGCGGCTTGCCAATCCCTTGCTCATGCTTGTTTTCTGTAAGTAAGCAGAAGCAAGGCTGAACTGACGTCTTCTCAACTTCTGGTTTTTCCGGCGAGGCCTGGAGTTGAGCGAGCAAGGACTAGGAGCAAGGCGCAGCGACGTCATGGTGGCTTCACGACTTGCCCATGTCTCTTCACCGCACATTGCCTTCTGCATTGCCCACTGCAAACTACCCATTTTCCTCATGTCACGAGAGTGCCTCCCCAGACACCGGCGCGTATGCAAGACATCCCTGGCCGAGTTCCTCCTGATCCGTCGAATGTAAACGTGCGACGGCGCCCGATGGTGGAAGCTTGGCCAAGGCGGGGAATCGCGCGATACTCGTTGCAGCTCGGAAGCAGATCAATGAGCGTGTCAGTCGGAGTGCTTGTGACCTCGAGAGGTTTTTACGTCTAGCGGCATCATGACGTTTGCCACATGGTAGACATTGTAGGCCGAGGTGGGCATGTAGACTAAGTTGATGTACCCGACAACTGCTATACTTGTCTTGGCAGTCAAAGAGACCATCACTCTGATCACGATGCAACCTGGTGGAGGCGAGCGTGACGCGCCAACGGGACTGTTTACTGCATCAAGGAACGATGGGACGATCTTTGGTATGTGGTTGTGGGCATGGAAGTTTGGTTGACAATGGAGGTAGGAGGGCGCCCCTCGGATAACCTGCAAAATCCGGCCAAGAATTCATGGAATGACCACGCCTGACTGTGGGTGAGCCTTGAGGCAGAAGCCATGTTAATTCTCAGTGCGGTTGCCGAGGTATAGTTAGTCGCAGACATGACACAAAGCATGCTCATGCGCGCCATGTTACGCAGGGCTGACTGAAATGTTTCGGGCGCACAGGCGCTGCATGCTACAGAACGTGGTTACTAATGTGGCCGCGTTACCAGCAATATCTTTACAGTGACGCTTAGTTACAGATGGCAACGCCATGCGCATGTACCATCACGCGTGCGCACGCTGCTTTTCGGAACAAACAACCAACAGTCCCTCCATCGGTGGCAAGCGTCGTCAAAAGCACAAGGCCATGCGCATGCTGATTTGACGAGGCGTCAGCCAAGTTCGGATTCTGGCGGCTGTGGAGTCTTAGCATACTCACGGAGGGGGGCGATACCGTACCCGCAATTGTTACAATACACAATACACAATACACAATACAAAATACACATCATCAGGACAGCCCGATTCGAGGTGAGCTCCACTTGTTCTGCATATCCCACTTGGATCATCATGTCGTCCCACCTTGTTCTGAGGATGCGGCATGCTGTAGAGACGACATCATGTCGCACGCCCATGTTGTTGCTGCTGCTGCCATCAGGCTAACCCCCACAATGCCAGGCCGCCATGGGCAGACATGCCAACCCTGACATCCGACGTGCTTTTGCAGAGTTCCAGGATCAAGACACACCCTCGAAATGCAACAAAGTCCGCTGTCTTCACTGCGGCTTCGTGCGCGCAAAGAACACGACGCGGCAGATTGAGCATCTTCAGGAGTGTCAGCCATACCTCTCCTCGCCCGAGGCCCAGGCACACCTCCTCGCCCAACAGCAGCAGAATGGAACGCCCGTCGAGCAGCAAAACATGGCCGCTCCGGGCCCCAGCCAGATCCTCAATGGACAGCAACCAAATCCAAACCTTCAGGTACACCGGCGAGGTCCGAATAGTAAGCGGCCTCGCGACGGCCAGCCGATTGCGCCGAACATCGCCATGGCTCCCAATATCGCGCCCTCGCTGACCTCGCATCTCTTGACCATCTGCTCGGGGCCCTTTGCTCAGGCAACCCAGCATCCGTTTCTCTCTCACTCGGGCTGCGGCTCCATAGGCGTAGGACCGTTGATGCAATGGCTGGTCCAGGATGGCCATTACGAGCGCGCCTTCATGCGCTTCGTGAGCCAGCTGCTGGGCAAGGTCCGTCTTCCTTCGACGCCCAACTCGCAGTTCCATCCCATGTATCGGACCATGGATTTGCTCATTTCCGCCCTTAACAACATGCGACGCGAGATGCAGTTTTTCGAGATTACCGCGACAAAATACGGCCTTGTCCTGCCCATGGACCCACCTTCCCCCATCACTCGCGCCCTGATTGACATGTTTGTGAACGCAACTAGTCCGAGCGCGTCACTTTTGGAAGGCATGGTCGCTTTATGGGGGACCGAGCATGTAGGGCTACAATCCATCCCACACCTCACCCAAACTAACACATCACAGTGCTACCGCAGCGCCTGGCAATATGCTGCATCCTTCTCCCCAAACGTCTCCACCATGTCCGCCGAACCCCACATTGTCGCCCTCCACCAAGCCCTCCTGCCAAACTGGATATCCCCCGCCTTTAGCAAATTCGTCGAAGCCTCGCGCGCCCTCGTCGATGAGCTCGCCAATATAACAACCACACGCGACGGCAAAGAGGAAATGGTAAGGTGTGAAGAAATCTTCCGCCAAACTTGCTGGCTAGCCGAGCGCATCTGGCCGAGCGTCGATGGCATGGGCGAAGAGGGTGAGAACACAGGCATGGGTCCACCCAGGGCATCCATGGCAGCAAATGTGGACACCGCCATGCAAAACGACATGCAAACTGGCCTGCCAATCGGCATAAATGGCAACAACATGTCGGCCGGCATGGTCAATATGCATGGCAATCCCGTTCCCAACACCAGCAACAACCCCGCCGCCACCAGAAACAGCAGCGTCAGCTCAAACATGAACGGAACCCCCGTCAATAGCAACAATAACCCCCGCAATGCAGCCGTAAACTCCAATATGAACAGTACCCCTGTGAACAATCAGCCACGAAACGCTAGCATCAACAGCGGCATGAGTGCGCCTCAAAACAGCAATACCCGCAACCCAAGCGTCAGCTCCGTTCAGTCGCAACCTCGCAACGCCGGTGTCAATAACCCGAGGAATAGCTCGCTCTCCAAGGCCTCGGGGCAATCTATGCCGCCGGGGAACCACGACAATATGCCTATAGTTGGCAACGATAATCGGAATAACAATTTTAGAGCTGGGCAAGGGTCGTCGTAGTACCGGCTGGTTGTTGTAGTCGAGTCGTGCATGTGGAAAGGGGAAAAATCAAAAACAAAATGGAGCTATGGAGTAAAACTAGACGTGTGACTGATAGTTCAAGTGATGGGTTCAAGATCTGTATCATATCCATTGGTCTGGAGTGACATTGATGAAGAAGAAAAAGTGTTGTTTTTCTCGTGTGTGTCCTGCCTTCGTTCGGGTATAAGATTGAGAGAGAAAAGAAGAGGAAGGAGAAGTAGAACGAGCATCGCTCAAAGGAGAATGAAGACACAACAAGCCTAACCAACACCACTACACGCCTCCCCTCCCCTACACACAGTCCCCTCACCCCCTCCCACCCCACAACCGCCCAACCCAATCATACATCCCCTTCAACCACGCCCCTCTCCCCTCATCAAGTCAATAACCAAACCCATGTCCCACACTCTCACTCCTCTCCCACTTCAGCCTCTTGTCCCCTTCATACCACACCGGCGTGCTTTCCAACGCCTTCACCACATAAAACATACATTTGTCATCCTCAAACCGGTTCCCATACAGCTTCTTATCCTGCAGCGCTGCTACAAACGCTTCTGTGTCGGCGATGGGACAGTTTGCGTCGTCGTAACCTTAGTATATGTACAGTGGGGGAAGGAGTGAGGGGTTAGTGGCGTGTTGGTCGCAGTTTTGGGCGCGTTCGATTGCATCCATTATACGGTCGTCTTTTGAATTGGGAGTGGGAGCTGTAGCGTTTAGGGTAGAGAAGCCGCGGTTCCGCTGGAAGTAAGTCTGCCACATCCGTGTGTGAGTTAAGCAAAAACCATCCCCTTTGGTGGTGGACGAGCGACACATGTGGGTTGACACGCCTAGGGACTTCGAGCGCCGTGATTGTCCCGCGTTATCTTTTCGACGTGTGCAGTGATGTGTGAGAGGGCATGTCGTGGCCCATGTACGTTGACACCGCGTCTGGCTGAAGGATATCGCGTTTATAGTGCGCCAGCATGGGAGAGCGGAACAGAGCTGCGTTAATAGGTATGGCCGTTCCAACGTCTCTCTTCGCGTTGAGCGAGAGGGTTGTCACAGCGGCGTAGGTACCTGCGCTTTTAGCTTCGACGTAGACGCTGGATTTGTCGATGGTGTAGGTTTGCTGGGGGTGTTGGGCGAGGAGCCAAGCTGGCCAGGATTCGTAGCGGGCGTCGAAAGAACCGTCGTGTTTGTACCAGAGCAGAAAATCTTGGAGGGCGATGTAAATGTCTGTGTAAGTTCCTTTGGGGCCGAGGGGGTAGTTTACGGAGATGATGATGGCGTGTTTTGCTTTGGCGCGGCGGAGGGAAGTGGTAGAGAACCAGGGGTGGAAGGATGCGGTGCCGGTGCACTGGTGGGTGTTAGTGTTGGTCTTGTTCCTTTGGATGTATTGATAGTCAAAGCTTGAGGGGTTTTGGGTGTTGAGACGTACAAATCCGCCTCCATGGAAAAACCACATTACAGGCGCTTTATGCCCGGCTGGTATATCGTTCGGAACTATTACAGTCACAGTGAGTTTCTTCTTATCTTGGCGCTCCGAGGAAGAGTACTGTGTCTCATAGACGTTGAATCCTTCCTCTCCAAACTAGATTTTGCTTCGGTCAAACATGCTATTCGCCCCCGTTCCTTTGTAGAAGAAGTCATCATCAGCAACTTCCTTGCTCGGCCATTCGAGAAGAGGGGTGATATGTTGATTCAAGAACCCCTCATTTTCTTTCGCTACCTTTTGGGCAGTTTCGGTGATCGCTTTGGCTTCTGGTGAGTATTGCCATTTAGGCAGATTACGTGGTTGATTGCGAAGGATAGCTGTAAGTTCTTCTTCACGCTCCTTGATACCTTTTTGGATCTCTGCAACCCTCTTGTCTCATCCACTTTCCCAGACTAGCTTTTCAGACATTGCGGCTTCGGGGTACTCATGTGACTTTTCGGTGATCTGCAGGTCGTGTCTTAGGATCAAGAAAGTCGCTTTCTAACAGTGTCGAAGAGTTATACTGTCCCCTGTACCTTCGTATATACCCTTCGCGACTCGGATAAGATACATCCGACTCTTCAGTCATATCGGGAGCTATTACTTGTTTTACTTATAGCGTAACCCACATTGGCAAGTGGAGCTCGGATTTCCAGGTACCTGGAAATCGTTTATTCGTGTAATGTGCCACACGGAACGGGACGTCGTGTTTCGTAACTCTACCAGCTGATATTCGCGTGGTATCAACGACCGAGAAGTTTATAGTGGGTACTTTGTGCTTCCCGAGGTCACGATATTCTACCTCTGAGGATAAGTATAGCGTGCCAAGGTATGCGTCTAAGTAAGAATATGCATCATAGGTTGAGCTACGGAAATGAAGTTTCTAGTTCGATTTCTCTCGTAGGGAAGACAAGGTCTTATTCCATTTTTTTTTCATCTGCGGTCGTTGACAAGACCAAGTGATCCAGCAGATCTCTGCCCGCCTTTCTTCCTATATTAGATGTATTTGGTGTAGCTGGAGATCAGCTACACACTTTCTCTTTTCTAGAGGGTATCCTTTCTATGAACCAGGACCGTTAGTCCCACTTCAATGCTATGCTATTAGCGATCTGCGGTCCAGCCGGCTTGGCACGTTGCGGCGACGACGAATCCGGTCCGTGAATTTAAGAAAACGGGATGCATTAGTAATAGAAGGATCATGTACCTCAAACAGCGAGGATTTGGCGCAGGTACCCTTACTCACATGTGCTAATTTCCTTTCTATATAAGGAAGGGGGGTGTAACTGAAACCTAGCGAGACGAAACCAGAATGATAGTCCCAAGGTTGGCGGTAGTCAGGTTGTTAGTGCTAGCACGTTTCTCCAACTTCCCCGCATGCGTCATCGCCAGTTTGGGAAGTACCGACCAGCCGGGCAGCGTAATATAGTCTACCCCATACTTATTGATCATCAGAACTAGATGCATGGAAAGATCTTAGAAGCAAATTATAGTTCACGGCATGATTTCTAGAAGAGATCGGCAAGAGAGAAACCAGTTTGACATGAAATGATCGTCGTTCGCTTTACATGGCGCTATCGACTAATGTGACTAAACATACCCGGGAAACTATTCTGGCAACCGAAGCTCCAGCTTCGCAACACATGAACCCTACAAGAGAGACAAATCAACTTAGGCCGTTGGCAGAGTATCGGCAGCGTAGCCCTTCTCAATGATCGGCGGTGGCTTGGGGACATTCCGGCGCATGATGGTGTGGTTGAAGAAGTATGGCACAGACTCGGTAATCTCGTACTTGAGGTAGCTCTTGGTCGGCACACTGAAGACCTGGTCCAACTCTTCCAGCGTGAGCTGCTTGGTCTCGCGGACGAAACAGAAGATCATGAACCAAGCAATAAGGTTGAGTCCGGCATAGAAACCAAAAGCACCCGTTGAGGTCATGACAGTGCGCATACGCGGGAAGGTGAGCGACAAAATACCGGCGAAGGTGTTGTTGATGCACACAGCCCAAGCCATGCCCTGTTCACGCTGAATAGTGGGGAAAACCTCGGCAGAGTACTGGAACGCGACTGGGCCTTCTCCAAGCGAGTAGCAAATGGTGAAAAGGTAGACGAACAGAACCACGGGGCCAATCTTAGCACCTCGGCTTGCAGTCTCTGGCTGAAGAAGAGACAAACCAGCGGCCAACAAGAAGATGCACATCAGAGGGAAGGTCCACATGCAAAGCGTTCTACGGCCCTTGGTATCGATGAGAAACAACGTGGGAATCGTAAAGACGACCTGGATGGCACCGTAACCGAGAGACGCGTACAGGGCCTGGTCGTTAGTGTAACCGACATCGGTGAAGATAGTCGAACTGTAGAAGGAGATGATGTTGATACCACACATCTGCTGCGCCAACATGACAGTCGAAGCGCCGTAGTTGGCACGCCTGATGCGCGGCACACGGAAGCAGTCCCACAGACGATCAAAGTAACCAGCTCCACGTGCAACGGCGAGTTCGGTCTCGTAGATGACGTACGAGTAGTAGTAGTCTCGGGCAGCAATGATGGGGTGCGAACGGAGGCGCGCCATGGAGCGGTAGCCCTTGGCGACGTGACCGTGCTTCATCAGCCATCGAGGAGACCTTTGGTTTGTTAGTCAATGTTTTGCGAAGACATCTTGGGCATAGAACTTACTCAGGGCAGAAGTAGATGCCGATCATGAGAATGAACGAAGGAATGAAGGCCGAGCCAAGCTGGAGACGCCATGCAATCTTGGGAACGTCCTTGACGATGACATTGGCACAGAAACCGAGGAAAATACCTGTCGAGCTGGATTAGTAATGCATCAGGCACATGCTAAAGAATATGTTGACATACCAATGACAACCCATAGCTGCCAGAACATGACCAAAGCACCTCGAATTCGATGCGGGGCCATTTCAGCAGAGTAGATGGGCACAGTGGCGTTCTTGGCACCAATGCCAATACCCATGACAAAGCGTGCAGCAAACAGTCCCTGCCATGATTGGGCGCATGCGGAGCCGATTGGAGTGAGGGTGAGGCAGACTGCAGTGAGGCAGATCTCGCCCCTACGACCCAAGTACTTGTTTAGGGGGTCAACAATGAAGGCACCGATGAGACCGGCAGTCAAGAAGATGATGGCGTTGATGAGACCAACGATCCACTCGTTCTTGGCTCCCTGGTTGATACCAAACTCCTCGGGGAAAGACAAGTTGGCTCCGTTGGAACCAGTCTGGTCCCATCCCTGGGTGGCGGCACCAATGGCACACAGACCGATCGAGTACCACAGCATGACTGGGCCGTTCCACTTGTGGTCGCGCTCGTAGATTAGAGCACTGCGCTCTTCCTCGTTGATGTCGGTGAGCATCTCAAAGCGTTCAGGGTCGCGGGCAACCAGAGCAGCCTTGCCAAAGAGAGCAGCTTCGCCTTCCAAACCGTGCTTGACAGCCCATGCCTCTGCTGCGGCGACACATTGAGCCTTGGTTTGGCGAGTCAGAGGGTTCTCGACGATGTTGTGAGCAACAGACTCGCGGCGGGCGCCTGCATCAGCAATGTGCTCAGGTGCATAGCCAGCCTCCTTCTCAGACGGGTAAGTAGTAACGGGCTCCTTCTCAGAAGGGTAGGCGACCTCCTTGTCGGGAACGTGGGTGACGCCGTTGTCCTTTGCGTCCATGTTGGCGATTGACGTTAGACGCTTCAAGGTTGAGTAGCACCAGTCGCGACAGGTGTGGAGAGCGTGCAGAGTTGAAAAGCAAACGGTGGGTGGGGAGGGGGGAACTGAGGCAGTCGATGTTATTAAGTATACTAGTGAGCAGGCACTACTGAGTGAAAGGGAGGCCTAAAGTGGACCCTTAACGGCGCACGACAATTGTAAGAGCAAGCAGCACAACAGAGCATCACCCCAGATCCTGGCCTATGTGGTCCAACGGGAAGGCTTTGTGGGAGGAGGGGTATGATAGCGCTAGTGAGCGCGTTCATGAGGATCTCCACTCTTTCTCCCCATGGAGTAAGCCTCCACAAGATTATGGCGGCTATCTTAGCCACGCTTAATTGTGAATACCCCAGCCTTCGCGCATTCCGATGTCTATGACCTCATCCCTGCAGTTACCCCAACATGTGATTCAATCGCTGACCGACTTAGTTCAAGCCACGGCGTTGCATTGCTCGGCAGCCTTCCGAGCACCCGTCACCCGACCTGACTTGTTCATCCTGCCTCTTTGTTTTGCAGGTGGCAGCCTCCCGCCTCAGGCGCGTCATTATCGAGGACACGGTCAGCTGACATCTGCGGACCTCATTGCCTTGTAGTAGGCAATGCCAAGAGAGATACTTGTGCGCCACACACCAACAAGCTGCTGACGTGTGCTTAATCGTGCGAGGCTCTTGGGACATCTCGGCATCCGTGTGAGGCTTGTCGAGAGCGGGAAGTCCGTCCTGCCTGCTAGCACCGCGTAGGCGTGATCGGCGGACAGGCTGCCTCACCCGTCACCCGTGCCGACGCAACCCCTCGACTTGTCTTCTTGTCCATACTACTTTCAGCCGCTGATTGTATCAATTCAAAACTCAAAGACGCCTCATCTCATTGTCTTGCCGGCATTGAGCTGCCTCGCTGCTCACAAACAAGCCCACGACACGGTTGACTTTGCATCACCACTTCCGCCAAAAGAAACGTCGTGGCAAGCTTCACCCAGACCGACCAGCTCCATAGCGTACGCGCGGCAACGGCTTGGCCATCTTGCCTTGTCTTGTCCCAACACTCCAGGTTCTTAGCTCTAGACGAAGCTGTGCACGGTCTGGGGTTGGGTAGAAATGTGGGCTCATGTTCCAACCGCACTGACTCCTGGTGGAGACTCCACCATTTCCTCCACGCGCTTACTCCAGGTTATATTGGTGGGTCGCTGGTCCCCAACGGAGAAAAAACTTCTCTTCACGTGTTTGCAACCGAGAGTCCATGTACAAGGTCTCCGTTGTATCTATCTACTCACCTGCGACAGCTGTTATAAACCACGCAAGACCTACCAAGTCATCCAGCACCATTTCCTTGTATACTTTTTCACTTCCTTGGCTAGCGCAACCGGATACTGACACCGATACCTGCATCGGCACTTGAGTGCGCCTGTCAGTTAGACCCCACACAGTACACGCGACGCAGTGTCTCGAACGTGTGAGGCTCGTTGGAGTGGGCCTCGGCGCGCTAGCCGCTGCTCGGATTGCCTCTTTGGGCTGCATCACTGACCGCCACCAAAACAACTACTCTTGAACCCAAACTACCGTCCCGACAAGCTTCTCCGTTACGACCCGCTTTTCAATAGTTCTGTTCAAGATGAGGCTAAATTTACAAGTTGTTCGCGCCACCCGTACGCCGTGTCCGTACTCCGTGTTGTTAGTCTCGGCTACCTCCGACTACTACCCAAGGTCACGCCTTTTAACTTGACTTGCTATGACCCAAAAACACTTAAGTAACAAAGGGAAGGGGCATAATAGGATCTATCAGCGTGAACCATGTCGCGCATCAACTTCAGCAAACTGATACTCTGAGAACAGCTTCAGGTACATAACATGCCAAACTGACTGTGCGGAAAACGAGAACTACACCTGCTGTTTGCTGGCATGGATTTGATTTTCGCTCCTTTCATGATTTTTCGTCATCATCCATCTCCAATTTCTTCTCTCATACTGCAAGACTTGACTACAATTACGATTGATTGAAAAACAAGCCGTAGTAGCAGAATGCAAACTAGAAATGAAGCTTACACACTGCGAAAAAGCAAGACTAGCAATGCTTTGCGAAAGGACAAATAGACTTGCGATGCTTCCCGAACCGTGGTACTTTCGCTTACACGATTTTGATGAGACTTCCACCGAGCTTTTTCGGCTCTTGCCTACACATAATCAATAACAGTTCGAGCTCGTCAAAAGCTTGGCCAATATATGCATCACTGAGTATCGCAACTGCAGCTCTATCTCGGCCTTTCACACGGGATCAAACTACATTGCTCATGACATAACTCACTCGCATATGTGCTTACATACAGGCGTTTGGTTCTCCCCTATAACAAATTTGCTGCTTCGATCTGATCATTTGAAGACTTTTAAATGCGGGAGTTTTGAGGATGCCCCGCTGTAAAGTCGACTGTGCCATGGTACCAGCGTTGTCGCTACCATATGGCCTTTCACGCGAGACAGAAACTACATTGCTCAGGACATGGTTCACTCGGATATGTGCTTGCATACAAATTATTAGGCTCTCATTGGTGAGCATGGGCCATGCCGTGGTCGTACCTAGGCTGCCATATCAGGTACCTGTAGCTAGGTAGACTTGAAAACGTAAACAACCCAGAACAGACCGCAGCACGGAACACCACTGTCATAATGGAGAACCCTCAGCACGAGGAGTCAAGCCGCGGCGATACACTCCATGCAGACTCAGCGCAAAAACCCACTAACGTGATAGAGAATTCTCAGCACGAGGAACCAAGCCGCGACGATACACCCCAAGCAAACTCCGCCTTGAGCTCCTCGACTTTAGGAAACGACGTCTCGTCCAAAGCTGCCACTAGCACATCCCCAACACCTATCGCCAGCTCCCCTTCCGACGTCAAAACCGCTCCTTTAGAGACCTACATTCTCAGCACCGAAGCTAAGATAAGCCATCTTCTCCCCACGCGTACTACGCCAGTTTTCCGTAGCTTCCCAGACTCAGAATCTCCCACCCTCCGCAGCGACCGCGAAAACAAGATCATCATATACTGCGGCGCCTTCAACCCGCCGCACGCAGGCCATGCCGCACTTCTTTCGCATACGTATTTCTCAACAGATGCTTCCACCATCGCCGCCCTGATACTACCCGTAAGAACCTTGTCGGGCAAAAGCTACCTATCAAACGCAGATGGAAGAAACTTCCGCCTGACGTATTCTCAGCGATCTGAGCTCTGGCAAGACGATCTCTTGAGCCGATTCTCCTGGATATTTCCGGGTGGGGGTCATAGAAACATGTCATCGTTCATTGACCTTCTCAAGGTGTCAGTAGAAAATGACGGGTTCAAAATATCTTTCTTGGAGCTATCTGGTGCAGAGTATGCATACTCACTTGGTATGATATGGGACAAAAACATACCTACACGAATTACTAGTAGTATCACGAGGCCGGTTCCCTTCGCAGAGTCTAATGGAGTCAAGGAACCTCAGTTGCGAAAATTACACGGCTGTGGGCCATGGGAAGACGTTCCGCAAGAGGATTTGCGGTGGGAGAGTGAAGAGGAAGAAAAGCCAAAGTGTTGGCCGTGCTGGCCTTGCCACAAGATGAGAAAGGTGTTTCCAGAAGCTTTCGACGACAAAGGCAGGCCACTACCACCTGATTACCGACACCACGATATGAGCCCCGCCACAAGACCTGATATTCTCCTTTCCCGCTGCCACGCCGCCCCAAAGCTCCCAAAACAGTGTCAATACATCTACCCCGTAGTGGAACAGATGACACGGGAATGGGGAGAACAAGAGCAGGAACTGGATGCCCATCTCCTCTTCATTCCCAGCACCCAGGATCCAAACTCGCCAACCTTGTTCCCCGAGATGAGCTCGACGTCGATTAGAAAAAGGTTTCTGAAAGCCGATACCGTGATATGTAAATTTCGCGATCAGATGAGCGAAGAGGTGCTTAATGTGGATCGGTTATGTGAATTTCTGGACTGGCCTGTGACTGAAAGAAATGTTAAGAGGTCGAGAGAGAGCGATGGTGCTGGGTACGATGATGACGCGGCTGAGGGACTGAACACGGAGAGTGATGACACAGTGGATGATAGCGCAGCTAAGAGGCTGAAGAAGGAGAGCAAGGATGCTAGAGATGATAATAGCAGCTAAGATGTTGATGATAAGTTTGTTGGATATGGCGAAGAAGCATGGGGGATAGACGATGAGCGGGTACTTTACCAAACTTTGCGCCCAGGTACAGGGGATTGGGCAGTACTTGTTGTAACGGTTTGGGACTTGCCAAGACCGACTTGGGTGAGAGTTGGGTACGGCTATCGCTACCACACTTTTTCATCACACACACCTATATAGCTGCAGCTTCTCCATAGCTATACAATGCAACGCAGTCCTCCTCCTCTCCTCACACCGTTACACTTGTCTTTCCAGAGGAACATGCGAGGCGTAGCGGATACCGATTTCTTCGGGTCGGGCACCTACTCGACGTAGGATTGTCACAAGACGTTTAGCTCTGAATCTGAGACCTATTTGCGCCATTTTCTAACTGTATGATCCCAAAGGTCTGATGATGATGGGTTTGACTTCGAAATTATCCTATCCATAACATTTTGGTTGTATTCCTCACTCCATCACATTGAAACCATAAATATCGTGACTGAGACGAGCCTGCATTAATCTACCCAAAAAGGTCTCTCTAGAGAGACTTCTCACGTATTAATATCCTCGTCTTCAAGGCATAGAGACCAGCCTCCCAGATACCATCTACATGGCACGAAACATCGCACATCGCCGCGACCACGTGACACTAAGTGCACAATAACTCCGGTACCGAGCCCACCCGATAACGCCCCCCCCCCCCCCCCACACACACACACGCAAACACCTATTCTTGTCCCTGATCCTCAAGCTGGAGCAGCCTATCTTCCTCCATCTTGGGCAAGATCATCTCGTTAATGATAATTGCAACAATGTGATTGCGGAGAGCATCCGAACTTGCGAACATAATCTTTGCCTGTGCTTCAAATTGGCGTGTTGAGATTTTTTCCAATACCAGATCTTCTACTAGGCGGACGAATTTATTCCAGTTTGGACCTAGTGGTGCAGGAGAAACATGTTAGATTTGTTGGTAGGGTAGAGGTGGGGGTAAAGGTATAGATTATATACGATGAAAGGATGTGTATGTGTGTGTCTTTAGAGGGACTTACCGAGGGCTTTTTCTGTGCCTACAAGCTTGGCTGCTGTTACGTATGTGTATCTTGGACGCAGAGGCGCAGGCTCTACGGGCGTCGATGATTCGGCTGTTGGCTGATGTGTAGATGCCATGGTCGTGGATGACCCGGATTTTATTTTATTTATGGATACAATGGACGTAGGCGAAACGTGTGTTGCTTGGTTTGGAGATTTCGTGGGCATGTACTCTTCGTCGGTATCACCGTCGGCGTCCAAATCGTTATCCTTAATATGGTCTTTGCTGGTCGATACCTTGCGAGAGATTTTACTACGGCTACTGTTCTGATTAGGGTGGCTTCTTTTCAACGAGCCCTGTCCACGGACACTCGGTTTAGGTATCGGTATAATAGCGTCGGGTTGTGCTGGACCCTCGGGCGCTGTTGGTTCCCTGGTTGATCGTGCTTGCTCCACCATGGCCAACTTCCGCAACCCGTTAGTTGAGGGATCTTCCATGGGTGAATCTTTCATGAGCGGTGCCTTTCTACCAACGTCGTTCGACGGGACACGAGAAGCTCCTGCCACTGGTGTGTATGGAACATGGGGTGGCTTGTCTGCCTTTTCCTTCTCAACTCCGTTATAGTGATTCTTTTTTGTCTCTGTTGTAAAAGAATTCGATAATGCTAACGAGTGTGACCGTGGGAATCCGGGAGCGATAGCTTGCTGGGGGATCCGGAATGGAGTCTGTGGTGGCGCATTTGATGCCCCATACGGTGACCTATGCTGGAGCCCAGGAAGCGGCGTCTGCGTCAACGATGCCATGTGGTTACTCTTCCCAACTAATGCGGTATCTATGTGACTGCTAGTAATACCAAATGGAAGCCTATCTGTTGGGTCCCGCGATAGGGTCGGATACGGATTCGAGGAAAAATAACCACTTCTTACAAAGGTTGGATGGTTAGGTCTGTCGATCGAGCGTGGGGCTGCGGGTGGAAGGGCAATGCTGCCTCCAAATGATCCCGCTATATTCATCGGTAGCATGTTCGGAACTTGTGGGGCGATGCGACGGTGCCGCGCAGGAGTATTCGCATGGCTGGGCGCGTTGCGCGCTTGCTGGCGAGCCTGCTCTTCCGACATCATTGCACGTGGTAAAATTGAGTGGTTTGGTGTCGCAAAAGACCATGCGGGGTGTTGCGATAGGCACAATGATGCCATCTGATATAATGGCGCTAGGCCACATATGGACTGGGAAACTACGGGTGAAGGCAAAGGTGCCCCCCTCACTCAAATCAGGGTCTACGTCGTTTGATCTCTCACCTGGAAGCATCAAAACCATTTAAAACGTTTTTGAGTAATTAAGAAATCATCTTGTGTATCTAACACTAACAAAGAACTGTACATAGTATCCGTACACTGACGAGAAAATACTGCCTAGAGATCTCAAGCGAACGCGATAGTATATAAGGCATCTAGCTAACTACCTTTTTCCACTAACTACGTTCTTGCCGATCCTCCACATGATTAGCACCTTATTCACGCCGGGCAATAGGCGATTGCAGTTTTCCTAGTCTGGTTGAGAGTAGTAGATATCAGATTCTAGAATGAGATATGTAGACGTTTATACGATGAGCAGAGCAAAGATACACTAGCACCCAAAGTAAATATAACGGAATAGATCTAGATTAGCAAGACAAGTTGTAAGTATGGCTTTGCATCATCGCATTTAGGGTCACGGATGTGTATTAAAACCCCCGGATTGCCCTTTTGAGCGAATGATGAAATTAGAATATTAAGCAGAGGCTAGCAGCTCTAGATTTTGGTGAAATGATTAGGTGGCGGATACGGTAGAGAGTGAGATAAGGTACAAGTAAATGTCAAATAGAGGTACTCGGCTGGAAAATGAGATAGGTATGTAGCGAAGGAAGTTGAGAAAACCAGCTAACACAAGATATGGAACTGAGTGACTTAACTTAGGATAGGGAACAAGTGCATGAAGTGAGGGGTCTTGTTGTGACAATCAGATATCAATCTCCCTGTACACGAAAAAAATTTCTTTGAGACAAGTATGAGCCAAGATGGTCCTGGAAGATTATGAGCAAACACATATGTTGGATCTCAAGACTAGCAGTACAGGCCTCGAGACCTGCCTCTCAAGTTCAATACCCTCCCATCCACGCCTCTATATACAAAATAAGGAACGCAAGACCTTGAACTACCTAAAAAAAGCAGCTTTTAAAAACGGAATGGAACTCGCATGTGCACCAGAGCCCACCCAAAACACCCTACCCATACAAAGTCCCCTTTGTACGCTCGCTGAATTGAGTCTCGTTATGCAGATGCTGCGTAACATCCATAGTAGTAGTGATATGATCAAGACTAAGCTTCTCCTCCTTACGACTAGCCAGCAACCTAGCAATCTTGAGAATATTCTTGATCTGGCGACCATTCAGGTCCATACGCGCGAGCTCCGTGAGCTGAGCTTTGGAAATCTCGTGATCCTGCGATGATGACTCCAAAAAGTTCTTCCAGACCGTCTTGCGCGATTCGACGGTGAGGCCGGGGTAATCGAGCGAGATGTGGATGCGCGACTGAAATGCCGGGTCGAAAGTTTGGACGCGGTTGGTGGTGAGGAACATGGTGCCTTCGTAGTATTCCAGGACGCGGAGGAAGATGGAGACGAGTTTATTGCGCTCGAGCTCGTGAAGGGAACGTTGTTCTAGAAAGACGTCTGCTTCGTCGAGCAGGAGGACGGCGTTCCAGCGACTGCACATTTCGAGGATATCTTGGAGTTTTGTTTCGACCTTGCGGGGGTCAAAGCCGAGGTCTCCAGCGCTCATCATGTAAAGAGGGACCTTCATTTCCTCTGCTACTGATTCGCTTGTGAGAGTCTTGCCTACACCTGGAGGTCCACAGAGCAGGATAATCATGCCCTTGCCCTTGCCTTCTATGACATCGTCAAAGGTATCTCGGAACTTGCGTTGAGATTCGGTGAAACCTAGGATCAGCTCTTTTTGGTTCCTAGGTAAGACGAGACGATCAAAGGCATCCGTTTGCCATTCGATATCCCTAACACAGCCAACGAAGAAGTTGAGCCAGAGCTTGTTCTTCAGACTGTAACCACGGAGAAGTGGAGAGCAGATGAGTTTTTGTTCGTCTGTCAAGGGCACGTGCTTAGCAGCGTCCTCCTCGTCGGCAAAAGCGCCGTCCATAGGCATCCCGCAGTCGTCCTCTTCATATTCATAGTCTTCATTACCATCATCATTATTGCCCTCGCCATATGAATATTCTCGAAGACCATGCATATTACGAAGTGACATAGGAGTCGGCTCTTTCCAATTGAGCGGTGAAACAAAGATGGAATGGGTAGGGTTGAAACGATTCCAGCCATAGGTGTCGATGACAATTCGGCCTTTGACGTTGTACTTATCCTTGTTTCCAAACCCGCCCTGCCTCCAAGCGACACCTTGGTATGCTGTATAGTTGGCACCAGCAAGCGCCTCAGCTTTAGCACCACGCTCGATAAGACGCGTACGAATGGCATCGCCTTCTGGATGGAATTGAAGGGGATATACGCGCAGCGAAGTGATGGCGCGAGTACCAGTATATGCAGCGACGGAGAGATTGATCTTGTTAGTGCCAAACCTAGCGCCGTCCCAATCAACGTACTTGCACGTCGCCCAGAAGCAAGGAGCGCCCTTGGCATCTTGACCATAACGTGTCTCGACCAGAGTCATGGCTGTTTCTTGGCCGTCTTGCCTCGAAAACACAGTCACTCCAGGCTGGAACAAGGTCCAGAGATGCTCATATGTCATGACCCGCTTACTCTTCATATCTTGGGAAGTGTCGATCATAGTCTTGAACTCCTTGGTGAGGACATCCTTGAGAAGTTCTGCATGCGCTTTGGTTGTGCGCTGATCTTCCGTGTCCCCGCCCAATTTGGCGATGGCTTCCTGAAGCTCTACCCATCTATGGATCAGAGGTTCGAATTTGCCGCTGAACTCGAGGCGCGTAAGACCCACGGTGACGCCAGGATAGTTTTTAAGTACACCAGCGAGCATATCTTTGAGTAGCGGGCTCTGAACGACGATGGAGTGGATAGACAGGACACGTCGGGGGTCATTGTAGACCTTGACATTGCGCACGAGCAGCGCCCATTTCGCAGTTTCGTCGTTTTCCACTGGATCACCAACGTCTTCGGGGATCTCCTCTTGCCATTGAAACCGGCCTTTCTTGTCTTCCTTGCCGGAGTAGAGGTGCTTGAGGCCCGTCTTCATGCCCGGGTCACAGGGATCTTCGTTGGCCTTGGTCCCATTCTCTGTCTCTGTATAGGGCTTTGGTTTTCCTTTGCCATTAACGAGAACATGCTTAACGCTGTTAACCTTGACCTTCTGCTGAGGTGAGTCCTCTTCGGATGAGTCAGATGAGTCCGGTGAGTGATGTGAGATATCTTTATTCTCCAGTTTCATGACGCTCCGCAAACAATCCACCTGCTGAGCGAACACCTGCTTTTGTTCTGTGGCTGAGTCGCACATGGTCATGGAAGATGACCTCGATTGGGGAGCGATAGACTGTTCAAAAAAAGAAGTGAAGGATATGAATGCCCCGATAGAAGCCTGGGGCGTGGATAATTCTCGCTCACGTCGTTGAGTATGAGAAGTGAAGGCGATTGAGATTGGGGGGGGGTTGTCCAAGGGTTTTGTAGAAGGAGGTACCGGTGAGGCTGAAACTGTCCTGCTGCCTGGACGAGGCGCTATTACTGAAAACGCTCCGGGCCTACTGTAGCAACTGCAGCCTTGTCAACACTTCGGATGACACGAAATACTTAACATACAGGCTGCTGTAGTCGCTAGACACGCCCATAGGTGCTTACTCATACTGTCAAGTATGTATAGAAGGTTTTGATAGGTGCCCGCGGGGAAAACGCAGCAATTGTCTTGAAATTGCGCTGGCAATCTCAGGTGGCACAGCTGCAAGCGGTGGCGTTGCGGCGATGCTGGCACACACCTCAGATCCGACACGTTGCTTTCGGGCTATCTTGAGATGAGTTTGGGCTGGAATAGACCAGTAGTAATAGTAGCATCTTAGCAGGTGCTCGATAAATTCTACACAGACTTGGATTTGGTTGTCATAAAGTAAACCACCGGGGAGTGTCATAAGATACTTGACATACTAGTGTAAAAAGAACATGGTAGTCGCCAGACACGCCTATTAGGCACTGTTCAAGTATTTCATGACACCCAAGTGAATCGTAAACGGGATGAGACGGAAGAAGCTGACAGCTGACAGCCAACAGTTCCTGTTGCGGACAGGTGTGGCGGTGCAGCAGAGTACCCCGCCGCCGGCGTCGGCGTTTACACGCCACTTTTTTTCATTTTCCATGCGCTGAACATTTCGTTTTCGCGCGGCACACAAGAGATATTCACGTCAAGTCTCACTGTAGTCTAATATGGCTACTCATATCAAGATCCCTTGTTCTTCGGCAAATATTGGACCTGGCTTTGACGTCATTGGTCTTGCGCTCAACCTTTACCTTGAACTACAAGTCACAGTCACCAAGAAGGATGCGTCAGAACACTCTCTGAATTGCAAAATCACATACGAAGGTGTAGGCGCCGAAGATGTACCCCTTGTCGCACAGGACAACCTCATTACCCGCACTGCCGTATACGTCCTCCGCTGCCATGGCATTCGCAACTTCCCCGCCGAAACCCACGTACACGTGAAGAACCCGATACCGTTGGGAAGAGGATTGGGGTCTTCGGCGGCTGCCATCGTGGGGGGTGTATTCCTGGCAAATGAAGTAGGCAACCTCAAACTATCGAGGGCGCGCATGCTCGACTACTGCCTGATGGAGGAGCGACACCCAGACAATGTCGCAGCGGCGCTGTATGGAGGCTTTGTCGGCACCTACCTCAATGAGCTGTCGCCTGAAGACACGGAGAGACTTGAAATTCCCCTCAGTGAAGTTCTGCCACAGCCCGCGGGAGGTGTAGATACGGGTTTGCGACCACCCGAGCCTCCCCTCAACATTGGACACTACACAAAGTTTAACTGGTCGCCCACCATCAAGTGCGTATGCATAATACCGCAGTTTGAGGTGTCAACGGCAAAGGCGCGCGCAGTACTGCCAGAGTCGTACTCCCGGAAGGATGCCATCTTCAACATGCAGCGGTTGGCTGTCCTTACGACTGCGCTCGGACAACCCACACCAGACCCCGACATGATCTACACAGCCATGCAAGACAAACTCCACCAGCCATACCGCAGTGGCCTCATCCCCGGTCTTACCGAAATCCTACAATCCGTCACCCCCCAATCGCATCCAGGCCTGCTTGGAATCTGCCTCTCAGGTGCTGGACCTACTATACTTGCGCTCGCGACCGATAACTTTGACAAGATAGCAGACCACCTACTGCAAGAATTCAAGAAGGAGGGCATAACATGTGACTGGAAATTGTTGGAGCCGGCTACCGAGGGCACCACCGTGACCCACCCATCTACCACATCACAACCAGCCGGCGAGGCATTGACGTACGCGTCGTCTGGAGTCAGCATAGATGCGGGCAACCAGCTCGTCAAGCAGATCAAGGCCTTGACTGCAAGCACCAGGCGACCTGGAGCTGATGGAAACATTGGTGGCTTTGGTGGGCTGCTTGACTTGCAGGCAGCTGGCTACAAAGAGGCACCGATACTTGTAGGTGCTATTGATGGTATCGGCACAAAAGTCAAGATCGCTTTCGAGATGGGCAAGCACGACACTGTGGGTATTGATCTGGTCGCCATGAATGTCAACGACCTGGTAGTCCAAGGTGCAGAACCTTTGATGTTTCTCGATTACTACGCTTGCAGCAAGCTTGACGTCGAAGGCGCTGCAAAGTTTGTTGAGGGTGTCGCTAATGGTTGCCGACAATCTGCATGTGCTCTGGTCGGTGGTGAGACTGCGGAGATGCCCGGTATCTATCAAAAAGGCGAATATGATGCGGGCGGGGCAGCCATTGGCGCGATCAAACAAGGTGCAACGATATTACCAGACACGGCATCTATGGAGGAAGGAGACGTCCTTCTCGGTATGGCATCGAGCGGTGTCCACTCCAACGGCTTTTCTCTAGTCCGAAGAATTGTCGAGGCACAGGGCATGTCGTACTCGGATACATGCCCATGGAGCAGTGGTGAGAATATCGGAACCGCGCTTCTAACCCCAACAAAGATCTACGTGAAACCGCTCCTAGCTGCGACCAAAGAGGGTCTGATCAAGGGTATGGCCCACATTACTGGCGGCGGTCTACTCGAGAACATTCCTCGCATGCTTCCGAAGACGCTAGCTGCCGAGCTGGATGCGAAATCGTGGCCTCTTCCCGCCGTGTTCAAGTGGCTGAAGAGTGCGGGCCGAATGGAGCATACCGAATTCGCGAGAACCTTTAACACGGGTCTCGGTATGGTACTTGTCGTCAGCCAGGAGAAAGTCCAAAAAACCATGGATCTGTTGCAGAGGGAGAAAGAAGAGGTGTACGTGGTGGGGTGTTTGAAAAAGAAGGTGGATGAGGACTGCATTGTGACAAACATGAATGTTTGGGGTTGAGAAACCATGTCTCCACCTTGTAGCAGGTGTCTGCATACGTAGCAGACCGGAAGCAAAAGCCATGATATGATGTATGAAGGTTACATATACTCAGGACGCTACAGGTCTGGCGATTGGGAGCCGCGGCGGTTGCAGCGGCATATCAAACGAATATACCCACCTTTTCTTCAAGTTCTAGAGCAAGTCCAAATCCACCTGTGCTGTCTTAATTCCAAGGAATGCTTATACGTGAGCAATACGCGCGCTTTAGACGGGGAATCCCAGACAAAGAGCGTGGTGCTTGGTACCTAGAATGCAGTGTTCGTGTTAGCCGCGGCTGGATTGGGGAATTCCGAGTCGTGGTATGGCGCGATGTTTGAGCAGACGGGGTGGTGAGAGAAGGGCGCTGGGACGCTACGACGCTCACAGTGTTCCTTGGAGGAGGCATATGCATCTGCATATCACGGCTTATTGTGGAGACAAGATGATGTGAGGACGCGTCAAGACATGCTCTGCTAATGACAGATGTTTGGGGAATAATGGATTGTCGGTATGTCACGTTGCACGCTAGCCCGATGTGGCAGGATACTCAGCTGAGACATGGAGACGGCCAAAGCGTCTTGCAACGAGTACGCGACCATTGCGCCATGGTCGGATTTTGGCGCCAGCAAGGTGCGTGGCTACAAGGGCGGGCGCTGTTTGGCTTGACGGGTGGTATTGAGTAATAGATTGCGGATTTTTGGTTGACATGTTGGAACAGGGCGAAGATGGGTGCGGGGGAGAGGTGCTACGGACTCGGTCGCAATATAGCAACCCAAACGCGTGGGTTCTAGATTCTGTTGAGACGGACTTTGGCGCTCAAGTATGACTCCCACAGGCCGTACCTCCCTCTTCCTGACGTCGACATGTGAAATCATGTCGGCATGGCTCTGTCCCGATAACGAGTCTGCGTCACCTGGGCGGCCGCCAGACAGCTTTGTGGGCCAGGGTGATACGATGGACAGGGCGGCCATCCATGCGATAAGACGGAGCTGCCACTTGGAGAACAGTGGTGGTGTATAGGCAACCAGATGGAAACGTGTTGCTGGGCGGCTGAAGGGTAGGCGGGGGGCGCCACGACTCGCACCTGTCCGTCTATTCGCCATGGTGGTTGTCGAGGTGGGGCGTAGGGGTAAACCGTGTGTATTGGCCTAGGCGGACCGTTTGCCAGACGCCTACCCATACCTACCAGGGCTACCAGGGCCAACTTTTTTTTTCAGACGGAACTGCGCTGGGTACTCGGAGCGACCAAGCCAAGCCAGCCCTTCTAGCCCTCGTCCCGAACACACGCCCACGCACCCCGAAAGCTGACAGCATCACAGTGCAGCAGCCTTGACCACCCACACGGCACCAACCTAGCCCTATCTTTTTGTCTGACCTATCTATCTACTTATTCCCCCTTCTCCTCTCTTTCTTCACAATGACCGCTCCCCACGACGTCGCTGCCCACTCGACGCACCCCATCAACACCACCACCCCAGCCAACCCACCACTCAAAGCCGACGCAACCGCCGCACACCCTCCCCCGCAGAAGCCCGACCCAACTCTCCAGAGCAACGACCATGCCACCTCCCAAGGAGGACTCTCCACCCCCCATCCCTCCCCCGCCGCCGAACTCGCCAGTCTTAAGAGCACGCTGAAGGCCTCGCTCCGCCAGTTCCCGGACTTCCCGCAACCGGGAATCCTGTTCGAGGACATTATGCCCATCTTTGCGAACCCCCAATTACACGAGGGCCTGGTGCGCTCGCTCGAGCTGGCTGTTTCGCAGCAATTCGGATCAGCCGGCAAGCCCGACGTTGTTGTTGGACTGGATGCGCGGGGCTTCCTCTTTGGACCCAGCCTGGCCCTGAGACTGGGCGCGAGTTTTGTGCCCGTCCGGAAGAGGGGGAAGCTCCCGGGACCGTGCGAGACGGCTGAATATCTCAAGGAGTACGGGTCTGATTTCTTCCAAATGCAAGCCGATGCCGTAAAGGCGGGCCAAAAGGTTTTGATTGTTGACGACATTATTGCGACAGGTACGTCTGGTTTCGCCTTTTTGACGCAGGGACATGGGATGCTAATCGACTTGTAGGTGGTTCTGCCGCAGCAGCCGGTTTACTCGTGAAGAAACTCGGCGGAGAAACCATGGGATATCTCTTCATTGACGAAGAGCCCTTCCTCAAGGGTCGCGACAAGCTCGACGCACCCGTATACACACTGCTTGCGAAACAGGAAGCGCTCAAGCAGTAAGGGCGTTTATCTGATCTTTCCATCAAATCTGGAACATATCTTCGCCATTCACATAGACGACATTATAGACCGGAATTGCATCATGGGCGGCGTTGGCGGGGCTGGTTATCACAACGGACACGCGCGGGAAGGGCGGGAATCGACAGATGAACAACGATAACGCGACGATAACGTTATAGCAGCAGAACGACGAGAATCTCCACACTACAATTTTCGCAGCCCAAAAAAAACACAAAACAGAAAACAGAAAACACCACATTATATATGTAAATTATATAAACTCCCCCGCACCTACACAAACAACAGCAGCATAAAAGTTATCCATCTTACACCCATTTTCCGTCGCAAAACTTCCTTCCATTTCCCCCTCTCATGTCATGCATACCTAGCTAACCCAGCCAAACCAAAAAGAAAAGGGCAAAAAAAAGTTCTTGACTTACCCCTCCATGCTGCCTGGCGCTAAACGGGCACCCTGCTGAATTGCTCATATCCCGCCAATGGCGAAGCGAAGAGCGGGGGCCGGGTGGGGTCAAGCACCGATGCCGGCGCCCGCTCTAGCTGCCATGCCCCCGCGCTGCCTTGCTATGCTTACGTCGCGTATGCGTGCGCGTGTGGTAGCTATCAGGGTGGGTTGTATGGTGACGAGGGACCATAGCTCCGGGTAGCACTGGGCCGGCGATAGCCTCACTTTACTTACGTGGGGAAAGTTGTCCTCTGTTGCTTACTTGTTCTGTTGAGATAGAGAAAGGGTTTAATGCAGCGTGTGACTACCTTTACGACTACTTTTACTACACAATCGAGAAAGAGAGTTTTTTGTTCTGGAATACCTTTGAGACCACTGTCTACGACATCTCATTTTTCACTCACGACGGTTTTTGGATATACGCCTAGAGCTACGATACAGAAAAGAAATATGTCGGATATCAAGAAGGTTTTTACAGCTAATGCCTGTCCTCGTAAGTTCATGGGAGAGGAAGAGGAGGGGTGTATGTCTGTGTGCTTGTACTAATACATTCTGTAGCTGCTGGACCTTACGTACGTCTCCCTCTACCCCACGCATTTCGTTCGTCGTGAACATCCTTCCAACCGCATATTCCGATCCCCGAGACCCCTTACATATACACTTGCTACCCAAGCATACACCATGTCCCCCAAGACAGCGCATATCCCACACCACACAATCACTGGGCGAAGAAATGTCACATCACTACAAAGCTCTTGGAAGAAAAGCAAGGATAAGGAAACATAGAGGCTGACACCCACCCCCCAAACAGACCCAAGCCATCATTGCCGGCCCCAACGTCTTCGTCTCTGGCCAAATCCCCGCCGACACAAAGGGCAACCTAATCGAAGGCAGCATCGCCGACAAGACCAAGATGTGCTGCGAGAACATCAAGGGTATCCTCACTGAAGCCGGTGTTGCTATGGAGAGGGTTGTAAAGGTGGGTTTACCTCCCCCTTCTCTTCTCATCCCATATACACCCCCACAACTTCCTGGCCAGCAGCTAATCGTACGATTATGTATAGGTCAACGTCTTCCTCGACGACATGGCAAACTTCGCCGAGATGAACTCCATCTACGAGCAGTACTTTGCCCACAAGCCCGCGAGGAGCTGCGTTGCAGTTAAGCAGCTGCCCAAGGGTGTGCCTGTCGAGATCGAGTGCATTGCGTATAACGGTATGGGCCATGCAAAGCTCTAATGCTGATGTAGGGTGTGTGTTGATTATCTTGTGTAGGTTAATCGACTGTATGACGTGGTGGTACCTCAACGGGCGATTTGCGTGTATAGGCTGATTGCAAGGTATAGTGGTTAAGGGGTGGGGTATGATGGATACGGTACGAGGCCATGTTAGAAGCGAGGTATAGGCTTTTGGAACTACACTTGAATCTACTACCACCCACCATCACCTTGTTGATCTGCTTCTCGGTGCTCATTCTCTCCCTCTTAGCCCAAATATTCATATCTGCAGATGTATACTTTAGACGACGTGTTTTGCTATCGAATGCTCTCCAGAGTGGCTCCAGCATCTTGGGATTTGCACTGAACTCGAGTTACATCAAAGACGAGGAAATCATCTTGCGACACCCACATAAGGCTGCTGCTGTGAAGGCGAAGTCACGTGATCTTCAGCACTTCCATTTATACGTTATTCATTCTGTCATAATCTCATGCGCTCTATCCATGAACCATCCAATGTAAGCTATTGCAGTACCGATAGACCTGTCTGCAAGATCTCAGTCTCATAATCCAATCTCAATCCGCCAATATCCTTGTACTGTTGTTACCCAAATGACACAGCCGTCGCTCAATGATCAGGATCACATGCATGGCATGCTAGACCGCCGATCTTCTCCCTTGCTTCATCAATTTGTATCATACCACAAGTTTCTCTTCCAATCGTGTACCCGGAGTAGTCTGTGGAGATGCCAACCTCAACCTGTGCCTGACCCACTCGGCCTTGGGGCGCTACAGGGGTAGGGAATGGAGCAGTAGCATCCATGGGAATACCCGCAGCGTTGCCGCGACCACCATACAAGCCGTTACCAGGGTGACGGTAGCGATTGCCACGACGTGGGATTGTGTAGTGTGTTGGAAGCTGCATACTGCGTGGACCAGAGGGTAGGGCGGGTTTCAAGGGGCGAGAAGCGTCGATATTTGTGCGGTTGACAAGTACAGTTTTCTCAACCATGTCGAACTGGTTTGAGAACGACTGTGTCGGTTCAACATCGTCAGCCTTCGCATTCTGCTTCTGCAAGTTGGGACGAGAATTCTCCGAATTTTGGTCTTCTTGGTGCTGATGCACAGGTGCGGATGGAGGCGGCATTAGTTCCGCAGAAGTCAAGTGCCTCGTTCCTTCGGTAGCGTTTGGATTGGCCGACAAGGAAGTGGTTGCAGCGATACTGTTAGAGACAGGATCAGCAGCATCAGCCGGAGAAGGCAACGTCGAACGCTGCTTCTTGGGTTTGATCTTCTTCGGTGACTTTGGACGACCGTTCCGGAAGCCTTGTTCATAAGCAAACTGAACCCCATACATGTACCACAAGAACGGGATTCCGTTTCTATCGAGCACCGTCATGTCTGGCAAGCCGGGTATATCCTGATACAGTGTACCCGCCACGGTAGTAGTAGAAGGCTCGACTGCGGCAATCGCGCTCGGGGGACGAGGCACAAACTCCGGCGCAGTAAAGGGCTCTTTTGGGACGGCTGCACTTGCAGGTTGGGGTACGAACTCTGCGGCAGTCGCACGAAGGTCTGACCCGATACTAGAATGCGTTGAACAATCACTATCTTTCCGTCTGCATGAGCCTGGGACATACCATTCACTTCTGCCTCTAACAGGCGATGTATCATCGTGTATTTGGTCCGTTTTGGCTGAATCTGCATCTTCTTGGTCGGCAATATGACTCAGATCGCCTATGTTCAAACTGTGAGCCATCATGACAATGATTGGAGGCATTCTGTTTGGCAGTGTGGGTGTCGTACCAAGAACATCTGTCTTCTTCTGACTATATATGACAGTCGAATCTGTAGGAACAGGATCTACGACCTTCGAAGTTGCCCGTACAGTAGAGGTGCTTGCTGTTCGGGAGCTGTATGTGGAATCCTGTCTGACACACGAAGTTGTAACATCCGGCAATTCCTCTAGACCAGGCATATCGGGGGGAATTGCAGGCTGTTCAAGCTGATCCCTAACGGGTTCAATTCTCGGGGTGTCCATGTGCTGGGTCGCAACAGGAGGTTGTGCCAGGATGGTCGTGGAGATAAGATGAGAATCGCTCCTCTTGTTATGGAGAAGTGATCGTTCTTCGTCTCGGTCTTTTCCTGTAATGGACGCAATCTTTGAGCTGTCGATGGTACGGAAGTGTCCTGGATGAGTAGCCATGGAGTTCTCCGATAAACAATCCTCGTCAGCTCCAGCATGCATGATTTGCATCATCTTGAGCCTGTATTTCAGAGATGCTACGGACTCGGCTCGCTTCAAAGTGGAATTTCTGGTGGGGATGGCAATCTTGCTTGTGGCGCCGATGCGTGGAATCCGCGAAGCTTGTTGGCATGAGACAGGATGCGATGGGCTGGAGCATGATTTTGGAGACTGATTGTGCGCGCGTTTCAGCTTCATAGGACTTGTCGTATCTTCCACTGTTTCTTTCATAGCCGACGGCGAGCTGACAAAGTCGTGAGACACCTGATCATCATGACTGTCAGCATGTAAATCAGTATCGGAAACGTCAAATTCCTCAAGATATTCTAAATCGGTATGGAAACTTTGCTCAATGTCTGTAGGACTCCTTACAGGCGAACCTTGAGCAGTATAGAAAGCCGTATTGCCAGTTGACGTGGAGATGCTGCTGGTTGCTCGCGAGTGTCCTGGCGATGACTTGGTATTGAGGTTTGCCAACTTTACCGGCGACATCTTGAAAGACAACTTGGGTTGCTGGCTCGTGCTGCTGCGTACAGGTGACCTAGTAGGGCTATTCCATGCTTTCTTTGAGGGAGAGCTGGGAACTGTACCAGTGCCGAGCGGGGACGAGGATGATGTGATGCTACTGTCGACAGCTGCCAGAGCTTCTTTCGTCAGATAAGTTGAGCCTTCCTTGCCATACCCTCTACTCAAGTCGAATGAGCTGTGGGTTCCGCGGATCGTCATCAATTCGCCAGGGGAGCTGCTCTCAGCACTCTTCTTGTATGTTCGCTCCTTTGCGCGTTGCGCCGTTGCTAAGTTGGGGCCAGCACTCTTGGGCAGCCAGTGTGAAGGGATCGACTTGCGAGGGCTGTGTGCAGACACGAGTTGAATGCCTGTATGTGTAGAGAAATGATGATCAGATTGCTCGAAACGACCCTCTCGAACAGTCTCGGCGTGAGAACTAGTGGTGGGGTGATCGTAGGGAATAGGCGCAGAGATATGTCCTTCATGGGATGCTTCGGCGGCGTCAGAGTAACTGGCATACGACTCAAATCGAGCAACTAATTCGGTGACCTTACCGTCATGAGTTACTTCCATATACAAAGAGGACTGCGTGTTCAATGGGATATCGATGTTGACATTGCTGTAGCCTCTCATATCCAATAGCGAGCTATTGCCGTCAAAAGTATCTGAAGATTCTGCAAGGGGATCATCAATAGACGCGGGCCGTGGGATGTGAGGAGCCAAGTGAGGCGGTCGCTCAATTTGCTCTTGTATGACGGCAATAGAGATTGGCAAGCGCCCACCTTCGGATGACGCGAGAGTGGACATGTTGTTGTTATACTGTGATGGGTGTTGTTGCTGCGTATGCGTATGCGATGAGCTACTGTTGTTGGAATCTGATGTTGGTGGGTTAGAAGACGATGGGCCTGGTCGAGCACCGGCGTTGTTGTGTGCACCCGCGTGGTCTGGCGGTGGACGGTCGCTATTACTGTGAGCTGATGACACCGTTGGAATATTCGTCGGATTACTTACTCTTCTCTAGGTAGCCCAAGTATTATATCTTTGTCGCAGTAAGATAATTTGTTGAGCTCACCATGTCGGCAAGTCGAGTAGTACCAGTAAGAATATTTACACATGATTCTGGGTAGCGGTTGTCAACCACTGCCGTCAGGCACGGTCGGGTTTGAGTATCCAAGAGGTGCGGGCGCAAGCAGGTGGAACCCGAGGTGAAGAAGGTGCAGTGGTGAGGGTGGTTCCGTTGGTTGCGGACTAGCGGTAAACAAACGGACGCGGAAAGAGCGCGATAGCAGGTGACAATGGAAAGAGATAAGAGACTTTGTACAGATCCGGAAAGAGCCGTTCATTCACTACAATTTGCGTATGTGGTAATACAAAGGTCATTACAAAGAGTAAAACTTCGGGTTCGAGCACACTACCATGATTCAATTAGACCGTGAAAAAACTGAACTTGGATATCAACGCTTGTATGGAAGAAATAAGAATCCTATCAGTTCAGTTCAAGGATACCTTGGTCCTTCAACGGAGGGAATCTTTAGGCTTCAGAGTAGAACAGTTATTGTAGTCCCATGGTTCCTTCATTTATCAAAATCTCTTCTTCTTCTTTGCTTGTGCCAGCTTCTTTGCGGCTTCCCCGTTCTTCCTTTTGAGCTCAGCTCGTCTCCGCTCTGCTTTCTCTTCAGGCGTCTCTTCAATTACTTCCTTGATGGGAGTAGGTTCCCTCACTGCTTCGTGCAGCGGTGGGAAGGACGGGGGCTCCACGGTAGGAGACTGCGTCTGCCTAGCTCGGAAAGCACTCTGTGAAGTCTCTCTATCTATATCCTTCCCTTTTCCACCAATTTTAAATGGCTTTCGGGCTTTCTTCAGTGTCGTGATTGTTTGTGTGGGTGGCGAACAGGGAGGTACAGATTCTCTAGTTGGCAGAAGATCATCCGGGTGAGTATCTGTCCCTGTAACTATTGTTGCTGATGGTGGTGGCTCTATTAGTGCTTTCGACTTGCCACCGATACGAAATGTATTGACCTTCGTTTTTGCCGCTGGCGGATCTGTTGCTTTGTGCAGTGGAGAGTGTTTTGGTGATGGCTTCCGGCCTGGAGACGTCTGTAGGGCGCGTCCTTGACTCTGACTACCGTTCATTGGAGGCACGTCAAGGTCATCTTCGTCCTCGGTACTATCTTCTGAGGTGCTCTGTGCTCCATTTGGAGATGAGCTTGGCGTTGGAACTGGGATCTCAGCGGGCTTGGTGGCGATGGTATGAGTCTGTAGCTCTGTCAGTGAAACGCTGTGGTCGGTATCTACGATCATCTCACATTGAAGTGCTCGTGATTCTCAAACTCGTCTTCTGTCTCTTCGTCACTCGACCCGGCCACGACGTCATTTGGTTTTATTGGCGGTGGAGACATTGTTCGCCTCTTGGCGGCGGTCTTAGAACTCAAATGAGTCGGTACTGCAGTCCACCAGTCTTGCTCACGATCTCCCGATTTCAGTTGTATCGGCACATCCGGCGTACTGTGGGCCAACGCTTCCTGGAACAAGCCTAGTGTAGTTACATCGGAATCTCGCAATTGCTCTGTTTCCTGCCTCCATGCATCTTCTCGAAAAGATTGTAATGCGGGAATGTGCTTGGCCGCTTGCTCGCGTTTAATCATTCTCTTCCCTGACTTGGTGCCACCGATGCTAGGGAAAGCTGCAGCAAAGTCCATGTTGTTGGAATCGAAGTGGTCCGCAAGTCGAGTAATTGCATTGTCTTTGCTATTGATCGTGGTTATGAGTCTGTTGATGCGTTCGTGTTGTATGTGCGAGGATACAAGGAGTGGAAGAATGAGTTCGTTTTCGAGAACTGTAGAGGGACGCTTCTTCAGATAGAACTTCCATGTCAAGCGGTCGAGTGGCTCTGGAAGACATATACTCGTATGTAATGTGATGCCATTGCCATCAATACGAGTCATTTGGCACACTGCATCATCGTCGTTGACTAGGGACTTCTTGATGTTGTGGAGGAGGATGGAAAGCTGCGCCGTATCTTGTTTGCTGACTTCAATAGGTGATTGCTCCTGTGAAGCTCGGTTCACTATACCGTCCAAGTCTGACTCTTCGCTCCATATGTTACTCAGGTCTGTAAGATGCAGTATGTACGAATCCGAATGAAATGCAGGTTTGATGAGGAGCTGGGGGACTTGTTTGTCTCCTGGCTCGTCGGAAAGCTTCAACACGCGCCAACAGGACATTTCAGATCGTAGGCGTGAAGTTACTACATCAACAGTTCCAGGGTAAGAGGGAGCTCAAAGCAGCGGTACTACGTGATTATGGGATAGATGCGTACGCAAACGTGAGATATGATGGAAGGCAGCCACGCCAAGAGTCACTGCCTATTGGGGACTAGTCCGTACAGGCGCGCGGAAGGCACGCACCTGTACGTCACCAACCTCGGTCAAAGATTTCGCGACCGCCTGGAGATGCTTACAGCCAAACCTCATAACAAAACTAAAAGCACATTCCACCAGCAGAAAACATGTCGTCACGTGAAGCCCCATGGAACAAAGATCGCCAGCATCTACCTCAGCGCAATGCGCCGTCGTCATCCATTCCCGCAAAGCGCTCAGCCGATTCGCAAAGTCACAACAGCGCTGCAAAGCGGTCAACAAACGCGGCCGAGGAGGCATGGGTAGCCGATGAGGATCGCTTTGTGTTGCAGCAGGCCAAGAAGAAGGCGGCTCTGCGCGTCAAGGGTGGCCGTGCGAGACCCGTCGACTGGTTGGCCGTCACATTGCGCTTCATCGATCCTGCAGAGAAGTCGATTTTAGACGAGGAAGTCGAGGATCACGAGCTTGACATCGTAGACCCCGAGGGCGTACTGGAAGGGCTTGACAACCAAGACCTCGCAGAGCTGGAGAAGGAGATCGAGAACTACTTGACGCTAGAGACAAGCAAGAGTAATCGCGACTACTGGACTGTAAGCAGCTTCATATTTCAAAACTACCATGTAATACTGACTCGCGCAGTCTCTCAAAGCCATCTGCAAGGATATGCGCCGCAAATCCAGATCAGATAAAGCAGAAGCACGCGGTACCAGCTCTGTAGCCGCCGACATCGATCAGCTCCTCGCCCCTAAAACGTACGAACAGCTCGAAACACTCGAAGTGCAGGTTAAAAAGAAGCTCGATTCGGACGAACCAATAGACTACGACTACTGGGAGCAACTGCTACGGAGTCTACGCGTATGGAAAGCAAAGGCGAAATTGCGGCGCGTGTCGCAAGACATTGTTAAAGAGCGACTGCAGACGTGGCGCAAGCAGCAGGCTGAGGCGGCTGCTTCAGTACAAGGCAACATCTACGACATGCTCCGAGGCGGCGATGAAACTATTGAAGTGCAGCCGACTACGGTCGTATATGATGCCGCTTGCGACCCCGAGCCATTACTAAAGCTGCGCGCTGAAGACAAAACACTGCCGCAAGTTGAGGAAAAGGCTTTCTTGGAGAACTTAGCTATTGAAAGACGGAAGATCCAAAAGGCCGGCTATGTGCCCTCACAGGCCAAAGCAGAAGACCGCGCTCTTCAAAACAGCAAGTCGACAACCAGTCAGGCCGTTACCACGAGCGCCTCAAGATTTGCACCCGTCGAGACGGACGACTATTCGAAGGCAACCATGGCCCTCTACGAGAGGGAAGTCGCGCGGGGTGTCGAAGAGGGCGAGGAGATATTCACTGGCGAAGAGGACGTCACCACTGCCCGCCCACAATGGGCTAGCAGCTATCAGCCTAGGAAGCCTCGCTACTTCAATCGCGTCCAAATGGGCTACGAATGGAACAAGTACAACCAAACGCATTACGACCACGACAACCCCCCACCGAAGGTCGTGCAAGGCTACAAGTTCAACATCTTCTACCCTGATCTCATTGATAAGACCAAAGCGCCCACCTATAAGATCGAGCGCGAGAACGGCCGCAAGAAAGGCCAGTCCTTCGCGCCGGCTGGCGAAGACGATACGTGTCTTATCCGATTCATCGCTGGTCCACCCTATGAAGATATCGCCTTCAGGATCATCGACAAGGAGTGGGACTACAGCGCCAAGAGAGATCGTGGCTTCAAGAGCAGCTTCGACAAGGTATGTCTTGGCATTTCTTACTGCGGGGGTTTCCCATTGTGCTCACTGTGTCTCGCTGTATCCCAGGCAGGGCTAACATTATGCAGGGTATCTTGCAACTCCATTTCCAGTTTAAAAAGGTAGGCCAAGATCGTCTGACTGCAGTCGTGTCACCACTAACATGTGGCAGATATACTATCGAAAGTAGCCGTACTCCATGTCGTTGACATCACCGCTGCACAGCCCGCCGTGTTGTATTTGGGCCCCTTTTGGATCGAATGGCGATAGGACGATACATAGGGCGGACGTTACACGTACTCATACATGCCGATACGTCCTCCTAAAAGCGAGCCAGTTCATCAAAGCCCGACACCTCTCTGACGCGACATTCTCCTAGCTACCACATACTGGCGGTGACGAGCGGTGTAGCCTTCTGACCAGTCGACCTGCCGGTGTCCTCTCTATGGCCATCAAATATCACTATCTCCATGCCTGGGACCGCTGGCGGTGTAAACGCCTATTTGGGCAATGACAGATACTGCATAGCTGCTGGCCTATCAAAAACATACGCCACCTTTCGTGATTCGAACAGGGACTACGAATTAGCTTCACCGGAAAAAAGGCCTTGGGGATTGTGTTACATCCCGTTGTGGGGCCTGTTTCCAGACGGTTGTCTACTGTTGCCTCCTTGCAGGCGCAGCGAATCTGCTAATACCCCTGCACTTGCAGTACATATGCCATTAATCACCTCTTTGGGACAGGTTTGCACGTGAGACATGCGATGTCAGCCATTGATCAGTGATTGTTGTTCTGCAAGGCAATGACCAGGTTTCGTATAATCAATCGTTTTAGCTGTTGACTACATGGTCACGCTTCCTTGACTACTCTTTCCATTCACAGACTAGAACAATGGCTTTGTTAGAAATATTCTCGTAGTCATGCGTGGAAGCCGGACGAGGACATGGAAAACCGGGAGACTGCCGCGCGCAGGCTATGCCCGCCCGACATAGCGTCGACGTTACGAGTGGTCTAGACAGTATGCAAGTTCCCGTCTCCCCTGTACTAAGCAATCGTTGGTTGCTGCTGTCGCACAACGAGTCATCCCGATAGTCTTCAATGGAGCAGTGCTATAAGTGTTTCTGGATCCGTCTCGGCCCGCAAGCCTCTCACACCATGTCGGCACTTTGGCCCCGTGATACAGCTGCACTTGGGTTCAGGTTGATCCTCAGCTTCTTTGTCTTTGCGATGAGATCTCGCATGTTGTTTGCCCGCCCAAGCGCGGCCGCAGCATCAAGCCTGCATGTGTGCTGGCAGCAGGAACCCGACCAGGAAGCATCTGGGTAACGATGACAATGGTTTCCACGCAATCCCATTTGTAGGGACGCAGCGGATATGTAAATATCCCAACCGTCGCTTCATTCGCAAGCATCGTCTTTCACTACTCCGAAAGTCCAATCTTTGCCACTCATTTGGTTTCACACGGCGTTGGCACCCACCTTCGCGTGCTTCGTATCGATACGCTCCGCACCTCTACCGTTTAGACCCATAGACAGACGACAACACAACAACTATGCCACATGTGCAATCACCTCATCGGCCCTCCTCCGCAGACCTGTGCGGTAGTTTTGATACTACGCAGTCATCGAAAGACGCTATTGGTGCTACACTCCCACTCCACACTCCAAGTCCGCTACTTTCCCTACCTTCAAGGCTGTCTGTTGATGTGCCTACCATGTCCACTGCTGTTCAAGAACCTACACCATCCAGGAATCAAGACCCACACTCTACCATGAGCTTCAACGGACAAGAACCAATGCAATGGGCTACACATACCAATTTCATGTTCACTCCCATCGGCCAGGATTGTGCTGGTTACAACACACCTAATCCCCTTCCGCTCGGCAACTCTGGCGACTTCTACCACTACGCCCAGAACGGCATGTCCTACAACGACAACTACAGCATGGCGTTCCCAACACAAGGCCCTAGTTCGAGTTGCCCACGATCATACAACAGCTCGGATCTCATCACCATACCCCGTGAAAACTGTGTGGTAGACTCCTACCCACCCACGGCATACCACATCGAGCCACCGAAAAACCACGACGCGTTAGATCTTTCGGACCATGGGATCAACGACCAGCTAATGCAGTTGAGCAATGACTATGACCACCATCAATACGGGTCGCATATGAAAATCGAGGATCCAACTGGCTACCAAAGCCCATACTCTGACCTGACGCGAGCTTCCACGCCGGGCGACGATCCTCCTGGACATGCAGACTCCCACTTTGAAGGACATGGAGGTAATTTTGACAAGGAGCAGCCATATGCGCAGCTCATATACCAAGCGCTGATGAACGCTCCGGACCATACGATGATATTGCGCGATATTTACGACTGGTTTAAGAACAATACAGACAAGGCCAATGATTCTGGTACTAAAGGATGGCAAAATAGTATCCGGCACAACCTCTCAATGAATGGGGTACGTTGCATTTTTACCTTCTGCCTATTCCGTGACTAACAGCATGACAGGCCTTTGAGAAAGTTGATCATCCCAGCGAAGCATCCCGCAAAGGCTTCATGTGGCGACTCACCGACCAAGCGATACTCGAGGGCGTCAAATCAACGACCCGCTACCGCAGCAAGCAGCCCAACAAGCGCGGCCCTCGGAACCACCAACCCCAGCCTCAACGCCAGGCATCAGGTGCAAAGGGAGGAAAAGCCTCCCGCCGTTCAGCCAGGATGCGCTCGGCCCGCATGCAAGACACATACCTCAATCCCCACTACATGTCTCGCTCCGTCCCGTCTGCCTTTGACCCTAGATACCAACGCCCCGACTCCTCAATGTCCTACACTCCCTCCACACATTCCAGCAGCGACATGGACTTTAGCTACGGACCACCAAGCAAGACCGAGCGCTACACAAGCAGCCCATTACACAGCCATCACTCGCATCTCGACATCTTCTCGCGTGCTACCGCGCGACCCTACATGGTAAACCACCATCCTATGACGCATGGGCTGCCGATATCGGATACGGGCTATGTGCTTGACCAGAGCCCGACAGAGAGTTTGTTTACGAACAGTCCTAGTCCAAGTGCAGATGAGCCGAGGACGCCGGTGGACCAAGGGTGTTGGCAGGAGGATGTAGATATGGGGCCAACATGCGTGTTTGACGAGCAGATTGCTTATCGCGAGTATGCGGGGTGAGGACCTAGCTGATTTCCTGGGATGTCAAAATACGATCTGTCGGGTTGGGTTTGGAATGGCGATTCCCTGATTGTTTGACAGTGGTTCGGTGTGATCTAGTACACTTGTATCTTCAACATCACTGTATGGTGGCGTTGCAGGCGTGGGAGCTTTGGGTATAGTGCTTGTATAGTCAATTCATGTCTTTTCATCTTTCAGCCTACATCCGCTTGAACCGCAAAGCATTTCAACAAAGCTTTAAGATGTCCTCCGCGGTCGTCTATCTGCCCCATAAATTGAGGATGACAAATTTGACGCTAGTACGCAAAAGTCATCGGGTTCTGCGCCCCGCGTAAATTTTCCCTTTTCAGCTTCGCGGACCGTTTTCCCATTCTCCCCGTATACCTCAATCCGTACCTTACCTCCGGTCAAGCATCCTTCACGCAGAAGCATCGAACTTGTTATTCAGTTCCTAGTCTGCATGATCTTCCTCATTTTACGAGCTACAAATGGCCAACATGAACCCGCACAGTTCCCCCCAAAACAGCTCTATCTCGTGTACGACAGCAAGGACACATGGAGCAAAAGCTAGATTGCATGCAGGCTTCACGGCGCTAGAATTGCGGTGTGAGTTAAACCTTCCAGACAGGATTCCTCACCGATGTCAGTTTTAGGTTCACTGCTGCATGCTGCGCGCCGGTCTTTGCGGGGCCGTTGGGATTAGCGCGGTTCGGTAAGTATGAGGTATGTGGCATGGGTGGGCAGTGATGAAACGGTGACACCACCAGCACTGGAGAAGTAGAAGTGGTCCAGTCGGGAAGATTCGGAGGGATCTAGGTGCTCGGTGAGTGGTTCGCCATATCGTACTATTCATGGTGCTGCAGCTGCAGGATCCTCATCCTTACTGCAGGTTGGAGGTTGGCCGGTGCTGTTCACTGGCACTTGCCGATTTCCCTGCGAAAACCCACCTTGCAATCGCAAACCTCTCCAAAGATGGCTGGAAACTACATGATGGCCGCACGAGTCCCACTATCAGTATGGTGTACAATTATGCGGTCCATATTCTCAGTTTCAATAGTTCTTATTCTCGCACATGACCTGAGAAACGAGCTGCCTCTTCGAAAGGCGCATCTTCTCATTTTACTCCGTCAAATCATACTGAGATCAATGTCTAATCGCTATAAAAGAACAATCGGGAGACCAGACATATTGACGTTCAATCTCGAGCTGTCACTTCTTCCACCATGCATCATACAGATGATGGCCATGGCCAGACTCGCCATGACGCAAGCCGCATTTCAGCAAATTCGGCACTTGAGGTGCCTGAATCTACAAGGCTTATTGCGGCTCACTTTAGGTGTTGAGTATATTCCAGCTGGCGCATTCTTCGGTGAGCTCGGTCAGAGCTTGTACGACATGTGTCGTCGTGAGCACGTTCCCGAGGTCACTGGAGGCGGTATGGTCTCAAAGACGTCAGCACGAGGAGATGCTTCCGGACTCTGGCATCGGCATCGCAAGGCGTGACAGGGCAGTCGCGTATGCAATACGAGTAGCCGCAAAATGCGCTGACTTCAAACCTGGGGCGTTGACACTGACAGTGCTAAGCTTCCTGCAGGTACACTAATTTGGATACCAGCTCGTCAGCTATCTGCACATTTATTACCAAGATCGAGCCACCTGCCGAAGAGATGCGTTTGATAGATCTGAGAACCTATCGGATGGTCCGATGAGGCTTTGCACACTAAGTCTTCGAAAGAAGCCGTCGGATCCTTCATATGCTCCTGCTCAGTTCAGTTCGTTCACGACGAGTGAAGTTCGACACGGGACATCTCCCGCTTCCGCGCCTTTCCCGGCCACCATGTGCGGGTCACACAGCATTCGTCAACGGTCGAGGGGCCGCATACATGAAACAAAGCCACGTGGGTCCATGTGACAGAAATGTTGCTGCTTGCAATATGCATGATCTCGAATGTGATGGGAAACGTGAACCTGCATGAAGCTCTGGACCGCCATACTTACTATTCCTCTACCTATCGTCGGCAGGGGTTTGTCCGATCTTGCACCACTGCGCACCACCATGACCGCACTCGCTGCCCGTGTCAGCAGTAGATTGCATTCCCGGCAAAATTATAGTGTAATCACTCACCAAACACTCCAGGTACTGTATACAAAGTCCACCTAGAAGGCCACACAGTCTGACTATCCGCTCAAGGCGCCTCATCCTAGACTCATGAACCACCAATGCACTCGATCTACTCGATCCACCACATCATCTATATGCGCCAAATCCCCAAAGTTCCGGAAAACAGGCAAAGGGCTCGAGCACACATCAACAGGGCCACAGCCTCCAATCCAGCTGCTGAATTGACGCCCAATAGGCATCCAACCCGCAACCCCATCCCTCCAAACCGTACACGTACCTACTGTATTACACGCATACTCCGCGCGATATGCGGCTAACATCCCCCAATGCCACATGCCTGATCTGCATGCATGCATCCAAAACCCGGTTCACTGCCCGTTCTTTCGCTACCTAAGCGAAATGTACGCATGTGGCGGAGCTAGTCATCTTACTAAATCTCGGAACTTGGTGCTGTAAAACGAGTTGTCGTTTTCTTGAAGAGCGTAAAATGTGCGCAAATTCTTGGGGTGTAACCTGCCACGTGTCATGGTGTTCTATGAATCAAGGCGGTGTAGGTATGATGTGCATGACTTACATGGCGCTAAAGTAGATATTGAGGGTGGGATGACGGGCCGGGTTGTGTGGGTCATTAGCCGTTGTGAACGAGCGGAGAAACGGGCGGGCGAGGCTGAGGTCGGGAAGGATGCGAGGGGAGGAGGGGTTGTGGATGAGCCTTCGGGTTGAGAGTGCGGCTTTTTGGCAGTAAAATGACTGTGTTTGGGTAGTTTTGGACGGGAGTGTGCGAAAAGCGGGTAGAGCGGTTGGAGAAGGCGCTGATAGTAAAGTGTTGGACCATGTAAGTAGTAGAGCTGTGTTTTTGGGATATCCATACTTTCATTACCACTCAGGCTCACAAGATGTTACCGGCGGTCTATGTCAGCTGGGTCATATTATAAGTCACCAAGTCACTGTTGCCTTACCTATCATTAAGATTATCGTGAAGATAGAGGCACTTGTGTTAAATGAAAATGGCGGTGGAGATAATATCATAGCACTTCAATTATATAAAGAGTTGAAATGAACTAAAATTTAATTATTATCAATGTATATCACTATAATCTAGCGTCATTGAGATCGACACTCTTATGGCATAAGACCATGAACATGTAACCCTCTAAACCTTACTCTCTCTACATGCCACTGAACTTTTCCACCAAATACCACCCATCTAAAAACCCTTCCAGCCACAAGTGAAATCCCGCTTCCACCCAGTCGCCATCTGCTCCCAATCGGCGGTGTTCAGGTCCTCGCACCACAAATCCGTCTTTTGGAGAGGAGAATCCTTACCATTCTTCTTACAGGAGTCCTCGCACGTCTGCAGAGCAAAGGGCTCTCGCTCGGTCCACATCTCAGAGGTAAAGTACGGCCTACACTGTACATTTTTCATGTAGTCGCAGCCGTCGATAACCTTGTTGAACTCAAAGTTGACCCGGCATCTAGGCAGGTCATCTACATCTAACACCGTGACGTTGATTTCTACAGGCATCTGGTGTTGAGAAGGCCGATTAACTGTCAGGATTACATCTTTGATCTCCTTGAGTCCGTTGCCGTGGGTGCCATGCTCGCCAGCGTTGTTGCCGTTGGGGTCGAATAGAGTCCAGTGCATCTCGGAGTAGTCGTCCCACATGTACTGCTGGATGCGGGCCGTCCACATCCCATACTTGTCCATTGAACCTGTTGGCTCTGGTATTGGTGTGGCCGACGAGGTAGTTGAGGATGTAGTTGAGGGGGTAGTTGAGGTGACACTTGAAGGGGTACTTGAGGGCTTGCTAGACATGCTATCGAAGCTCGTCACTGTGCTCAACGAATCGTTCGGGTCGTTGTTACCCTCATCGTCGTCCAATGAGAGTGGCGCCCGAGTACAAGCTGGATCGTCTGTAGTCACCGTTTCGGTGTCAGTCTGCGTCATGGTGGTGTCGAAGCCTTGGATAGCTCCACCGCAAACGGTCACAGTTGCATCGATCCATGGGACACACATGGATGTGATCAGGGTGGATGAAGTACCCATCACACTAGTGGGCAGGGCGGAGACATTGTATCCCTCAGTACACCACACGAATCGCTCAGTGATGACCGTACGCTGATTATCTTCACACTCCTCAGGATCTGGGCGATTGGATGGCTTGTTAGGCGCTGGCCCAGGCTTGGGTCCACAGCCACCTGAAATCGTGCAACCCGGAAGGCTGCAAATCTCTGGTGGACAGGCCGAGCATCCTTCTCCCAGGCAGTACCCATCAACTCCAATGATACCCGATTCTCTACCTGGGCAACCAAAGTATTGGCAGGGGTCACAGCCAAAGACACCACAGGGTGAAGGGATTATAAAGTCCTTGTCATCACCACCACAGCCGGGACCAAAACCAAGACCCATGTAGCCACAGCCGCATCCAAACAAATTGCACTTCTTGTTCTTGTTCTTGGGGTAAGAAGTCGGCTTTGGCTTCTTCTTGTGGCCGTCGTTGCACGCCTTTACCACACAAGGGCAGAAGGGCCGCTTGGTGAGCAAGAAAGTGACGACTCGCCACTTGATACAATCAAGAATGCAGTCGTTCGGTACGCAGTCTGGATCATCCTTTGGATCTGGGCCATCAGGGGGGCCTGGAACTGGGACTGGGACTGGTACCACACCCGATGGGTCAGGGGAAATATCACTAGGGACTGGTAGCACCGCTGAGGGCTCGCCTGGGTCTTTGGAAGGCGCGATAGTCCCGACAGCTGACGAACCCGGTGCTGGTCCAGAAGAAGACGTATCCGTTGGGTCTGGCGATGATGGCTTCGTCGGACCTGGGCCTGGAGAATTGGTCGGATCAGGCTTGGAAGAATCGGTTGATGAGGCAAGAACTGGACGAGGAAAAACCGTGGCGTCGGTTGAACTGATCGTGCCATGAGGAGGAATTATAGGGTCACTCTGGGTGGCAATAGGAACAGGAACAGGAAACCACAGGGTCATGGATCCTTCAACAGAGCTCACCCAAGACACCGCTGGAGAGTCTGAGCTGACGGACGGCGCTGGAGAGTTGGTGGCCGAGCCCGATGACGGTACAGGGTTTGAGCCACTACTCGAGCCAATCGTACCGATAGGAGGTTGCACAGAGCTGCTCTCGCTAACAGTGATGGGAAACCATACTGTTGTCGATCCCTCAACAGAGCTAAATGCCCATGATACCATCGGAGTGCTTGAATTACCGGATGGCGCTTGAGACGGCGATGCAGGACTGCTATTTGATTCCAATGGCGGTAAAGGCGTTACACCATCCGTTGAGCTGATCTTACTGCTCGGGGGTGCTGCAGAACGGCTCGGGATGACAGTGATGGGAAACCACACTGTCGATGATCCAGTAACTGAGCTCACCCAAGACACAATCGGGATGTCTGTGCTACCTGGCGGCAATCCAGATGGGGATGCAGAAATGCTAGGGATAACAGTGATCGGAAACCATGCTGTGGTAAACCCCTCTACTGAGCTCACCCAAGATACTGTTGGGCTGTTTGAGCTGCTCGGTGGTGTTTGAGAAATACCCAAAGGAGTCGAAGCGCCTGTCGTTATGGAAGGAGTGCTGGAAAATAACGAGAAAGCAACGCTTGAACCGACAGGCTGGGACGAAGTTTGACTGTTCCAGTCTTGAGACGATGGCAAGGCCGAACCTTCCGAGGAAGGCATAGGCGAAGGGTCGGTCACACTCGAATATCCCTGTGTCGATGACGGGACAGGGCTGCCTTGTACCGAGGATGGATTTAGCGGGGAAACGTTGCTCGAGAGTGCAGGAGAAGATTGCAGACTGCTAGGAGATGCTAAAAATGAAGGGACCGAGCCTTGTGCCGATGAAGTAGGCAAGGGAGCTCCAGAAGGTATAGGCGCGGGGTAGGCAGGCTCATCAGAGGGTGAAGGGCCTGGCGTAATCGGAGTCCCAGGTTGTTGTGGAGCACCGCCATTTCCACCATTACAATCGAAGTCAATGGCCCAGAGCGCTGTACCACTAAGACCGTGCTTGTCTGCAAGTTGTAGCTTCATGCCAAGAGTCTCTGGGTCATCGTATCCCACCCATTGGTCATCCCATGCGATTTCTTTGACGCCTGCTCCTCCAGCGATGATATGAGGCTTGAGGTTCTTTTCCCCAATGATCCTGTTGATTTCGCATGCACTAAGAAAGCCGCCGGTCTTCGTACAGCCACCGGGCTTACTGGCGCCTACAAATTCGCAACCGTAGTAATTACACTTCGTGTCAGCAACAGTGTAGCCACGGCCATAGTTGGCGACTCCCATCAGAACCTTTGCTGGATCAATCTTGTCAGTCCATAGAAGATTGAGCGCGCCATCAATTTCAGCAAGGTCAGTGTGTGGCTTGATCCCCTGCGAGATGTCATCCCATGACCCATGTAAGTCATATGTCAAGACAGTGAACCAATTGACGTCATCCTGCATTGCACCTGGGTTCATGTTCTTGAGGTATCCCTCCTGGGCTGGGAGAACAACAGAGACCACAAACGTGCTACCGAGAGCTTGGCGCACTTCGTGGATCAAATCGACCTGGTTCTGCGTATCGGAAGCACCTGGCCACTCCCAGTGAATCTCGATCTTGTCAAACTTCCACTTTTCCAAGAACTGCTTGAGGGAATCGACGAAAGACTTGCGGTTCTCCTTGGTACTGGCCATCTTGGACCATGCGAGGCTTGTCTCTCCGTCATGAGACATGGCCCATTCGCCGATCGCGATTCCCTTGTAGATACTTGCCGGAAGCTTGAAGAACTGGTTGTAAACCTCCTCGTCTTCGGGACGCTTCATGCCAACTTCAAAGGTAATTGAGTTGAAGATAGCAAAGCTGAGCACTATCGAAGTGTATCCGTTGGTGTTGAGACTACTCGGCCAAATCTGGTCGCAGTCGCGCTGGCGCATGTTTGAAGCCTCGTAATAGGCAATCCGACGCCAAGCGCTGTTTGGACCGCAAGAAGCTGCGGGCACATCTGTACGATGGATCTCACCTACTGCAACCTGATTGTTCTCGAGGGTGGTTGTAGCTTCAGCTGACGGGAAGCTGCAGGCATAGCCGCAGAAGGCGACTAGCCACAGCAGGGGAACAAACAGCTGCATCCGGAGATACGGCAGTCGTTTTCAAGTGGTGATTTGTCAATGCTCTTAGGGAATGCAATCGAATTCGAAAGAAGGCGTGGGGAGAATAAGTGGGAGGCGGGAAGAAAATGAAGCTCGGTAAGCAGGGAGCGCGAGCTTATGAGGTGTGGGGAGTAAAGAGCAGACGCGCTAGCGAATGTCTGGCCAAAGTGGCAGGAAGTCGCGCAGAGGTAGAGGAGGTGTGCAGCGGAGAGAAAGAAGAGTTCCAAGTGCTGGGGAGGGCAAGCCTTTAAGGTGTGTAGAATGTGGAAGGGCGCTAGTGAAAGAGGGTGCTAGTGAGATAGGGTCTGCGTGGGGGAGGTCAGAGTGGTGACGGGCTGCACAGCCAACGACGTTAGTGGTAGATTGCGACAAGAGTGAGTTGAGCAACCTTGTGACTGCCCAGAGATAACAGGCCAACTTAGCAGCTTCGGTCTAGTGATTAGTACATAACAACGGGAGCGCTGTTCCTACTATATTTACCTCTTTAATCTTCGCTATGGCTCTCATGGAGACTCATAGCATTATTTTGATACTTATGATATGTTCTAGTCATCTCGGAACATAGGTATCTGACCGAATAAAGGTCTCATAGAACGCACATCATTTGCCATAGCCAATTGTACTAACTTTCTTTCTGATATCCGAGTCTATTCAACTACTCCTTCGGACTTGATTATGTAAGAATAATGAACAGATCAAAGATCAAACGTCCCGATTAAGCAACTTGGGAGATATTTGGACTATATAGGCGGTGTAGAGTCCACAGTCCGCAACAATCAATTAAGTGGGTCCTAGAAGGTTCAGATTGGATTGATTGATTACCGCTTTAAGCCTAGTAGTTACCTATAGGAGTTTAAGCCCTACCTAGATAGGTAAGTGGGTCTAGGAGAGTGACCGGATTGAATTGATTGTTGCGGAGTCTAGTAGAGTCTCTATTATCTAAGTACCACCTCGAAAATTAGAGATACAACGCAATAGTCTCGGCGGTGCTCAACTATATACCGCGAATAGCAAGTTGATACGGAGCAAGCAACAGAAGCCCCAAGGGTTTTGAATACACAAAGTATCATATCACACCTAGGCTGCAGAGAATTGCGAGTTTGATACATGAATGGCAACTATCCGAGAGGAACAGTAAGGGTATCTATACATTACGAGACGTAGAGAACGGCTATCATCAAGAATCAAAGATTCTACTTAATGACCAAGAAAATTGAGACTATTACAGATACTGCAAGTGGAGTCGACTTTTGATTTGACGTATGCGTGTTGCTGCACAAACACCAATCTGCTTGCTTCTCGCAACCGGCGGCCAGCGATATATGAGGCTATTGGATAGACGGCTTAGGGTTGAAAACAAAGCTTGAGTTGACAGGGCGATCGTATGCTGATGGCAGAGTGAAAGATGAACGAGGGTTTGACTGTTAGGTGTCGCTATGCTGTGGTGTCGATGGCCCCACTTTAATGACGCGCTAAAAACGCGCGCGACTGCCAGCAAACACCCCGCATCATGACAGCAGCTCATGTTCCTCTTCCTCAACAAGCATCAGCTATCGAAGTCAAACTCAGTCGTATACAACAATGGCAAAACACATGGCTAGAAGCAACAATTCCCCCCTACTCCAGCTACCTCGGGAACTACGCGACGAGATATACGCCTACGTCTTCACACCCCCACCCGCTCTCTACTACGGCCGCCTTGAGAGCCACAGCACCACACGTCCAAGATACAAGCTCTTCACCACTGCAGATGCCGCCGCTGTCTGCCGATCCCCCATCTTTCTCAACCCCAAAACACTGCTCTGGGAAGATGCAAAACAAGACAACGGACTGAGCTGGCAGGACGCCATATACCATGACCAGGCTATGTTGCAGCACACGTGCCGGCAGCTACGCCAGGAGACGCTAGCCTCGCTTGCAAAAAGGGACGTCCGGATCGTCTTCCACTCCTCGCGGTGTGGGTCCAACGGCAGTATCACGGCTGAGCGCATGTTTCTCGACTTCATGAAATACCATTTCCAACACTTGCCTCTACAAGCCTATTGCTTCGATTTGTATCTCGAACAGAGGTCTTCTCCCTTGCATTACCCCTTGATGGACCCCAACCAAGACCTTTGTTCACTTATCGAGTGTTGTCACCGGCATCCGGCAATGAGGATAAATGCATATCTTGAGTCCAGTGCGCCGGAGCAGTTATGTAGTCTCTTGGTGAGATTGACACTTGCCCTACGTGGAACCGATGTGTCTTCCATCATCCCTACGACCGATGATCCTACTTCTATTGTCTTTGGATACCCCATTGTGTACAAGAAGTTTGCGAGTGAGCGGACACTCGAGTGGAGGAATGTCACGAACCTGCGCGTTTGGCCAATTTTCAAATCGAATGAGATCAATGCTACGGTGCAATTTCCGTTTCACGACAACGAAGAAGCGCTTGCACTAATAGACAAGTGGTATGAGGAGGGTATTTAGAATGATTATCAAATGGGTAGTAACAGCTGAACGACGCTGTAGTATTTTGATTTCTGAGTTCCACGCACTTCTATAGCTATCACGACCGTTCTCAAGCATGTAACAATCATTCCTACAGTTCCAATTTCTGTGGAAGTGGATTCACGGCGACGTCCGTGAGCACTTTTTCTCTTCCCTACATGACAGTCCCGTGCGCTA